AGTAAATATTTATCTGGGTATTTGTACTTTTACTTAAGTACTGAGATTCAGTACTTCCTCCACCACTGGTCCTGACTTATGCACCCTGTATTTCAAGAAAGAACATTTATTTATTTATGATACATTATTCATTCACAAAGAAATTTTTTGTCCTTAAAGGTTGGATTTTTCTTTCTTTCTTTTTTTTTTTTAAATTAAGGCATTAAGATCGATTTCCAAAAGATGATTTTTTTATTACTTTTTTTAGACAACTTTAGCATGGGTGTCCTAACTTATTCACATCACTGTATAATTACACATTTGTAATAATGAAGTTCCAATTCAGTTCATTTAAAATATATTGACTTTAAATATGTACATAAATAAGTACATATTCAAAACACAACAAAAGATTATTCAAATATATTTATTTAAAATGTACTTTAAAATAAAGCTTTTAATTTGACATTATTACAAACTGTACTTTTTTGAAAGTTAATTATGTCTGTTAAGAAACATTCATATAAGCATTCCCTCTGAAAGTACACTTAAATGGACTTTTATTTCACCAAATACTGTATCCATTAAACGTACAGTATGCGATTTTTGGCCACCAGGGGTCACTTATTTAAAATAATAACAAAAGACGTACTTTGATGACGTCGGGAAAGAGCGTGGGCTCACGGGAGTTGTTGTCGCTGTCAATGACAACCAGCTCAGCTCATGGCATGACATCATCGTTTCACAAAATATACGGATATACGGCATCTCTCTGTAGATTTAGCTTGTCAAGAAGCTTTAAATGCAACCCCAATGTTTACCTGTGTCATGCTTTTCCTCCTCTCCCAAACCCTTCTTGGGTCATATTTTTCACTCGTACGTTTGAGCTTTACTGAGCTGGCTGTAGCAGCAGAACGTGCAGGCAAAGCGTAATCGTGGTCCATAACTATAATACAGACGAATATAAATATTTATATTATGCTCCTTCAATGAATGACCTATTTTAGAACATTTTTCATATATAGGGCGCACCGGATTATAAAGCACATAAGATACTGCAGTCAAACATTTGACTGGGTTTGCGTTATGCATCCACTATGTGCTAAAGGCTAAAGGGAATGTAGTGAGTGCGCGGCGCCGGACGTGAGGCGTTTATTTAGTAAGCATGAGCGCGCTGAAGCGGGCACATACATTCGCAGCCTGACTCATATGAGTATTCAATGTGCGCGGCTCACTAACAGCAACAGTTGGCTTTTTTGAATCAGTTTTGAATGAGACGACACGGTTACTGTGAACGGGGAGCGCTTTATGCGCGAGCAGCACCGGGGACAGTGTCTGTTAAGAGTGAGCGCTCGTGAGCGGGCACGTGATTTACACACATAAAAATACGTACTACTTTTTTTTCTTCGTCATTTTCTTTGCTTTATTGGCGGTAGTCCAGTGTTCCCCTTTGTGTTTGCCGGTTTCGCCGGGTTCCGCAAGGAAGTTAGAGAAAATAGAGGAGTCAAAGGTTATGACGCCATAGACGGGCGACGAAACGGAAATAAAGAAACGTCCCGTGTCTTCGAATTAAACTATAAATTTCTCCGTATTTGAAAGTTGGTGGAAACTGTCGGGATAATGTAAGTACACATCTAATAGAAATATATAACATAGATACAGTTATTTTTGCTATTTTTAAAGCAGAAAAAATACATATTGTGGCTTTAAAGTACATTTTTACTTATACTGTATCTTGATAAAAACACGAGTGAATACATAAATACAATTAATCATGCTTTTTTCGTAAGGGCTAACAGCTTGACATGATATATTAGTTGTTGAGGTCAGCATTAAGTTGAAATAATATCACACCCACACAGTGTTATTTCCTGTCCAACAGGATGTTTGTTGAACGTTGGACTGTTCAGTGTTTAAAAGGGTCACTTGGTTGAAGAAATGTTTATATATGAAAGTTTTTGTGGCTTTCAAAGAGCAACTTATTAAATGCTCCATTCTCTCAATGTAGTGTGTGATCTCACCCTTCCCCCAACATCTACAGTATGGTCATTCCCTCATGCAACTGCTCTGTCGTCAATGCCAAGGCACTCTGTTTTGTCAAAAAACACCTGGTTTGAGATTGGGAGGTTCCTCTGAACTGGTAGTGAACCTGTCCTGATGAGGTAGAGATGGAAATCCAGTAAGAAGTAAAAAGCAACATTCGCTATTTCCTAAAACACAACATGGCTCCGATCCTTAGACATTCTTGGATCTAATGCCAGCTGGAACTTTCCGAAAGAATGGAACTCTTGATACAGCGTGTATCCTCGCTAGGGTTAAGAGCAACAGTCCTTTCCTGGGCCTGTTGTTATGACTGCAGTTGTGAGGAAATGTTATCTCTTCACCTTTGGCTTGTGTACATTTACCTCTATCAACTAGTGACACAGAGAGAAACTCAGCAAGGAAATCGCTCCTTTGGGAAACATGAAAGGAACTCCCAAAAACACTCTTACATGAATAGTTAACAAAGTTTCCCTTCTAGCCTTGGCTGCCATACATTATCAAACCAAAACAGACTCTTGTTTGTTTAATAGCATAATCAGTAGAAGAATTCTGTGACTCCTTATATTTTATGTGATACTATGAGCCTTCAACACAACATATTTGAGTCATTTCCGGGATTGCTGTAGATATGGATCACTGTGAGGCTGTTACATGATCCACACGACCCTCTGACTTCCCTTTCCAAACAGTGCTTTGACAGGGCAAATAAAACCAACGCAGCCTCAAGAATCAAGAATACCCAGAGCAATGGTGGGCATATAGAGCAGGCTTAGGTTTCAGTGCATGGTTTTTGTCAGTTCATACCCCATTTTGTATACTTGGCTGTGTATTGACTTTATGAAATCGACTCAGTGAATTTCTTTTGTTTTTGTTGAAATGCCGTCTATCATCTTGCACGCATTTTCTTTTAATCCACCATGAGACATGGTTAAACTTAGATTAGAAAAGAATTTATTTCAGATTAGATTGGTTTCGTTACTCCGAATCATGACCATCATGACGTAAATGTGGTTCCCAATTCCTGAGGCTTGTGGAGATAATCATAGACTTCAGGACATAAATGATTTAGGGTAAGAAAATATTGTCATATTGTTTGACCAAGCAAAAATATAGGAAAAAAAATAGAATATCCACACTCTGTTCTGTTATTTGTTACTTCATTGGTTATCTGAAAAACATGGTTAGTTCTTTCATTGGGAAATGTTTAAACAGCCACTGTACAGCTTCTAGAAACAATGCCTGTACCTAAATAACTCCCGAATTATTTATTTCTCCTCGATTTGATTCTATACACAAAGGCAAATGGAAACATATCCCAGTTAAGACGTTAAGAATGTTTTGTTAGTATCATCAGGTACAGCAAACCATGCAGTTCCAGTAATGCCAATTTCATTTGTAAAAAACACCCCTAGGCTCTCTCTGCAAACTAAAACCAGACTTATTCCAATCCTCAAACCTAATGTGACTGAGGTAAATACAATTAAGCCCAGCCTGAGGAAACCCTGGCTTATTATTGTTTATCTTTAAACCTGACTCCATGTCTCCTCCTGGCCCTGTGCCATCAGTTTTTTTCTCTAGTCTAGAAGTCAAGATAGAAAAATGACAGAGATCATGTGTTCTTTTCTTTTCAATAAAATACTGTACATCAGAAATATAGTCTATACTAGATTAAAATATACGTATAATGAAAATGATTGACTGGATGTATAATGTATTTTGAAAAGAAGTCTAAATGAAAGAAATATTTTTCATATCCAGTGCTGAGTAGATGACTTGCTAATTGTAGTCGGTTCCAAATTACATGACAAAAATTGTAGTTAGTAACAAAATCCATTATATGACACTTTTAAAGGTAATGTAATCTGACTACTTTTTGATTACTTGTAGATTACTTTTGCCCTCACTTGTTGTTCAACACATTGAGTTTGAATAGGATAATCTTGTACCATATGGATATAGTAATACAAAGAGAAAGAATATATACTTGTATTTCAATCTTTGTTATCAGCAACATGAAGTGCATAAAATAATACATTGCTTCAGGGTTTCCCAGACTGGGGTTCGTGAGTGTCACAATCTGTGTATTTAGTTTATCTCCAACGCATTCTCATCCTAGGGCGTCATCTAACTGACGCTTTTGACCATGTGTCTAAATCTGATGCACATGGCAACCTTTAGCGTCAGTTAGATGATGCGGGTAGGTTTAGGTCTGGGGTAGGGTTAGGATTAGACCACTAGGAGGCGCGTCTCATATTGACACTAAAGCGTGCCATGTGCGCCGTCGCATGTTGACGCATGGTCAAAAGTGTCAGTTAGATGACGCCTTGGGATAAGAACTGGCTGTTATCTCTTATTGGACTTTTAGTTGGGTTATCTTGTGGACATTCAGTTTGGTTGGAAAACAGAGGAAGTGCTTCCCATCCTGCCCATCTAGAGGTAGTGCTTCCCACTCTGCCCATCCAGAGGTAGCGCTTCCCACTCTGCCCATCCATAAAACTTTTCTGCCACTGGTCCCCTCCAGCACTAATGCATGTTCTTCACCTCGGGAATCATCATCTCCGCTGTTCCTGCCCAGCTTTAATTTGACGTCACCACCAGTCCTGTGCATCACTAAGCTTTCTTTCTCACCCAGTCTTTCTTTCCTGTACACTCCACTGAAGCCAGCCATTTTTTCGTCTCTGCCTCCTCTGGCTACCTTCAACCACTCAGCTCCACCGTCACTATCTCCCTGCATAACCCAATCGGTCGGTCGGTCTCAAAGGACCACCCTTGCTCCTCCCTACTTCACTGCCGTGGAGAGACTCCTCAATCATAGCCATCTCTTAGGTCGTTCTGGGATCTCATCAGCCATCCATTCTCTGGATCCAACCACCACCACCCAGTCCTCCATGGTCACTTCCACTGCAAAATCCTACATGGTTTCTACCATCAGCTCCTCCTAGCATCAACTCTTCCATGGCTTCTTCCGCCATCTGGGTTTACAGTGCCTCGCCGGTTTCCTCGTTCACCTCCTGAAGCTCCACCATTGTTCCATCCATCACATCGTGAGGCCACGCCTTTTCAGAGAGGGGGAGTTCTGTCACAATCTGTGCATTTAGTTTCTCTCTTATAGACTTTGCTTTGGTTACCGTCAGTTTCCGGTTTCCTTTGTTCCTAGTTTCCCACCAGTCACCAGTCTCCAAGAACACTTATTAATCATCACATCTGTCTAATTTCAAAAAGCCGTCCTTCGGATGAGACGTTAAACCGAGGTCCTGACTCTCTGTGGTCATTAAAAAATCCCAGGATGTCTGTAATACAGTTCTTAGTAGAGGTATAGGAAGAAGGAGACAGGGTCGGCGATACTGGGACTTGTACAGACTTTATTAACTCAGAATCAAACAAAACAAAAGGTGCGCCCAAAGCGCGTTCACCGTAGTCTCGCTACAGCACAGCACAACTTCAATCAAACTCTTTCCACGCTGATTTAGCTCTCCTTGCTTCCTCCAGCACTCTTTCCACTCGATCGCTGTACAAGTCCCAGTCCTTTCTCTCTTCTCGTTCTTCTCCCACTGTGCTGGCTTTAACCGTCTCTCCACACCAATCACTGGAATCAGACACAGGTGTTATCACTTGTCCTTGATCCACTTACTCACCGCACAGCCCCTTGACTCATCTCTCCGTGCAGACAGCGTGCCAACCACGCCCCCCTCACCACATACCCCCACCGCCCGACTCAGGCCGGGGAACCGTCCGGCCTGCAGCCCCCCCCCTCCCCCTCCTGGAGAGGAAGTCGGCCACAGCCATCTGCGCCCCCGGCCTGTGGACCACCTGAAACTTAAAAGGTTGTAACGCCAGATACCAACGGGTGATCCGCGCGTTGGTATCTTTCATGCGGTGGAGCCACTGCAAGGGAGCGTGGTCCGAACACAGGGTGAACTCCCGTCCCAGGAGGTAGTAGCGGAGGGTGAGGACAGCCCAGCGGATGGCCAAACACTCCTTCTCAATGGTGCTGTACATCGTCTCTCTCTTAGAGAGCTTCCGACTGATGTACAGCACCGGCCGTTCCTCCCCCTCCACCTCCTGGGCCAGGACCGCGCCCAAGCCCCTGTCCGACGCATCTGTCTGCAGGATAAAAGGGAGAGAAAAGTCAGGAGCATGTAAAAGCGGTCCCCCGCACAGAGCAGCCTTTATCTGGGTAAAAGCCTGCTGGCACTGCTCCGTCCACTGGACCGTATCTGGAGCGCCCTTTTTAGTCAGATCAGTCAGCGGGCTAGCGAGGTCCGAATAATTAGGCACAAATCGTCTATAGTATCCCGCTAGCCCCAGGAACTGTCTAACCTCCTTTTTGGTCTTAGGACTCGGACAGGTTGCAACCGCTGCTGTCTTATCAATTTGGGGACGCACCTGCCCGTGACCCAAGTGGAAGCCCAGATACCTTACTTCTACCCGCCCAATTGCACACTTCTTCGGGTTCGCCGTGAGCCCGGCCCTTCTCAGCGTTTTCAGGACAGCACGCAAATACTGCATATGCCGCTGCCAATCATTGCTATAGATGATAATGTCATCCAGATACGCCGCGGCATACGCAGCATGCGGCCGGAGGATTCTGTCCATCAAACGCTGAAAAGTCGCCGGTGCCCCGAACAACCCGAACGGAAGCGTGACGAATTGGTGTAACCCGAACGGCGTGGTAAAAGCTGTCTTTTCTTTGGACATTGGAGATAAGGGGATCTGCCAATACCCCTTTGTTAAGTCCAGCGTCGAATAAAAGCGAGCAGAGCCAAGCCGATCAAGCAATTCGTCAATCCTCGGCATTGGATAAGCATCGAATTTGGACACCGCGTTCACCTTTCTATAGTCCACACAGAATCGAACCGAGCCGTCAGGTTTTGGAACTAAAACTATCGGGCTGGCCCAGTCACTGTTGGACTCTTCTATTACCCCCATGTCCAGCATGGTTTCTAATTCGGCCTGAACCGTTTTCTTCTTGTGTTCAGGTAATCGATACGGACGGCAACGCACAACGACCCCCGGATCTGTCTCAACGTGGTGCTGAATGAGATTCGTTCGACCAGGCAGGGGCGAGAACACGTCAGAAAACTCCGCTTGTACCCTTTTAATATCAGTGAGCTGTGAGGGCGAGAGATGGTCACCAGATGGAGCCAGAGAGAAGGACTGAGATTTAACCCTCGCCTCTGGCCCGAGGTCCTCCTCCCCACTCACCACCGTCGCCAGCATCACTGCCTCCGCCTCAACCCACTTTTTTAGTAGGTTGAGGTGGTACGTCTGACGTCCCCCGCCCCTGTCTGTTCGAATTACCTCATAGTTGAGATCCCCGACTCGCCGTGTGACCTCAAAGGGCCCTTGCCACTTTGCAAGTAATTTCGAGCTGGACGTGGGGAGTAATACAAGCACTTTATCTCCCGGTGAAAATTGTCGGAGTCTAGCCCCCCTATTGTACTGCTGTTTCTGTCTGTTCTGAGCCTGTAACAAATTCTCCAATGATAGCCGCCCCAGGGTGTGGAGTTTTGTTCTCAGGTCCAGGACATACTGAATTTCGTTCTTACTAGCAGACGGTCCGTCCTCCCAAGTCTCCCTCAGCACGTCTAACACCCCACGAGGCTGACGACCGAAGAGAAGCTCGAAGGGGGAAAACCCCGTGGAGGCTTGGGGGACCTCGCGTACTGCAAACAATAGGGGTTCCAGCCACTTGTCCCAATTTTTGGCGTCTTCGTGAACGAACTTACGAATCATGGTTTTTAACGTGCGATTAAAACGTTCGACCAGACCATCCGTTTGTGGGTGATAGACGCTGGTACGAATCGATTTAATGCCCAGTAATTCATACAGTTCGCGAACCGTCCGTGACATAAACGCCGTGCCTTGATCGGTGAGGATCTCCTTAGGGATCCCCACCCGGGAGATTAATGAGAACAGCGCGCTTGCCACACTCTTAGCCGAGATGTTGCGGAGCGGAACTGCCTCCGGATATCGTGTTGCGTAATCCACCAAGACTAACGCAAAACGATGCCCTCGTGCTGACCGTTCTAATGGCCCGACGAGGTCCATACCAATTCGTTCGAAGGGGACCTGCATCAGTGGAAGGGGGCACAAGGGTGCTTTTGGATTGGCCGGTGGATTCACCAACTGGCATTCACGACAAGACGCGCACCACCTGCGCACATTCTCGTGAATGCCCGGCCAGAAGAATCGGGCCATGAGACGGTTTAGTGTCGCCCGTTGCCCTAAATGTCCGGCCATCGGATTACAATGAGCCGCCTGGAAAAGCATTTCCCGGCGGCTCCTTGGCACTAACAACTGGGTTGTATCTTCCTTTGTCTGGGCGTCTTGGGTCACCCGATACAACCGATCTTTAATCACGCAAAAATAGGGGTACGAGAGCGGTTGGTCCGGGTGGAGTAGCTGTCCGTCGATGGAACGGACCGAACCAAACGCATGTTTGAGCGTTTCATCCTGGGACTGCTCCAGGGGAAAATCATCGCGCTCAGAGAGGAGATTTCTCTCTAAAGCTCTCTCTTCCCCTGCAGCAGCACCCAGAGGTCCCGGTACAGCATCCCCCACCTGCACCACCGCTGTCTTCCCCCGCTGCTTCGTTTCCCAAGAGGCATCCGCACATAAAATCCCCAATAGTTTCGCAAAACCTGGCCAATCAGTTCCCAAATCAGCGGATGCTGGAGGCGCGGGTTAACTGCCACCTCCACACTATGTTTTTGTCCCCGAAATAGAACCGCGACGGACATTAAGGGATAACTCTCCACCACCCCGTGCACACACCGCACCCTAACCACGCGGCTTTTATCCAATGCCCCGGATCGAATCAGGCTTTGATGAATAGAGGTCTGGTTACAACCCGAATCCACCAAAGCCTGATAAGTACCCCCCTTTATACTCACGGGTATCTGGTACAGGCCAGCTTGATCGGGGGCGGCCGTTGGCGCGTCGGGGATCCGGACCAGGGTCCCCACCTCCATCACTGGACACCGGTCAATAAAGTGGTCCGGGTCCCCACAGCGCCAACAAGCCGGCCCAGGCTTTACCGCTGCCCCAGCGGAGGGAAGGGGGCCAAGGGATTGACGTGGGGAGAGGGCTGTCCCCGGAACCAGGGTGGATGTGTCCCCCGCGGTCGGCCCCGCGGACCCGTTCTCCCCGCGGCACCGCTATCCGTCGGCCAGCCAGCCTTCCACCGCGGCGCTGGGCGGGGCACCAGGCCCCCTCGAGACCTGGGAGCGGGGAGAGGCTTAGGAGAGAGAGAGAGAGAGAGAGAGGGAGAGAGAGAGACCGATGGGAGGGATTCGCCGACCCCCGAGCACGCCACCATGTGATCCTCCGCCAGTTGGATGGCCTGGTCCAGCGACGTCGGGCGGTGGCACTGGACCCATTGGGCAGTTCTCTTTGGAAGCTTCCCCACGAACTGCTCCAGCACCACTTGATTGATTATCTTCTCGACGTCGCTACCCTCGGCCATCAGCCATTTGCGGCAGGAGTCCCGGAGCTGTTGCGCCAACACGAAGGGCCGGCCGGCCTCTTCTAAGGTCAGGGACCTAAAGCGTTGTCGGTGCTGTTCGGCGGTCCGGCCGACCCGCTGAATGATGGCGCGCTTTAGGTCGTCGTAGACCAGGAGATTCGAGACTGGCAGTTGGTGGGCGGCGATCTGGGACTCACCGGACAACAGCGGGATGAGACGCAACGGCCAGTCTTCTTTGGGCCACTCCCGGGCCTCGGCCGACCTCTCGAAAAGGTCCAGGAACGCCTCCGGGTCGTCCTGTGGACCCATCTTCCCGAGGGTCAATGGTGTGGCCGAGGCTGATGCTGGTGGGGGAGTGGCCGGAATCTCCCGGCCGAGGCAGCTCCGGAACAACTCGCGGTCTTCCTGCTGGCCTTGGAGCAGCGCCTGGAAGCGCTGATCCTGTTCTTCCTTCATGCTCAGCAGGGCTTGATGTTGGTCGCGCTGAAGAGCCGCGAGTGACTGAATGATGTCCGCAAATGGCGATCCTGACGGGCTCTGCATGGCGGCGGCAGACTCCTTCTTCCCGGGTTTTCGGCACCAGTGTAATACAGTTCTTAGTAGAGGTATAGGAAGAAGGAGACAGGGTCGGCGATACTGGGACTTGTACAGACTTTATTTACTCAGAATCAAACAAAACAAAAGGTGCGCACAAAGCGCGTTCACCGTAGTCTCGCTACAGCACAGCACAACTTCAATCAAACTCTTTCCACGCTGATTCAGCTCTCCTTGCTTCCTCCAGCACTCTTTCCACTCGATCACTGCACAAGTCCCAGTCCTTTCTCTCTCTCGTTCCTCTCCACTGTGCTGGCTTTAACCGTCTCTCCACACCAATCACTGGAATCAGACACAGGTGTTATCACTTGTCCTTGATCCACTTACTCACCGCACAGCCCCTTGACTCATCTCTCCGTGCAGACAGCGTGCCAACCACGCCCCCCTCACCACAGAGTGCATTAGCGCCTGCACCCTTTTCAGCAGCGCTGGTTCTGGAAGTATTTTTTCATAAAATTTTTTCCCATAGAGATTTTAAATTAGTTGTGTTAAAGGGTTAACAGTTAAAAGTGGGGATGCACTTATATGAAAATTTTGTTCGATACCAATAACGAAAATTCTTTATATTTGAAAGCCAAAAATCGATATATTGGCCGATAAATATTAATTAAAAAATATATATTAATTTTGAGATTTTCCCAAGCACACAATTATAATATTATAAAGCCTATGTGGGGGATTTGCTCTGAGCATGTTGCATGTGATATTCATATTTCAAGCAATCCAAAACCAATAAATTCAAACAGTATGCATCTGAAGTGTCTCAGCTGTAGGAAATAATCCATTATTTATTGGCTTTTATATTTCAGCTAAATATTCCTATTGGGTCTATAACATTAACGTTAACATTAAAGTGAATCGGCCAAGACCGAAATGGTGGCCGATATATCATGCATCCCTAGTTATAAACCATGAACTAAGCCAATCTGCTACAAGGTGAATCATAACACTACAAACTTTGATTTGAAGTAAAAACATTTTTGAACATTGATCAAAAAGACAATACAAGACAAGACTGACTTTAATTGGTGGAATTTTCTTTACAGCATCATGGGTAATGTAGTTTTTCACCAAGAACTCCACTGTTAAACACAATTATTTAAAAAAATAAGCTGAAATAACATGAACTGGTGGCTTCGACAGAAGTAAATACACACAGTAGGCCTGTCTTTGCAGGTTTATAAGTTATCGTTCAAAATTAATTTTCCTTAGGGAGAAAATGAATGGAGTTTTTACTTCCAAACTCGTCTGTTGTGCTACAATAAAGAGCTGCCATTGTTCCTGAGCACTTACACATGTTCTGTTGCTCATTTAATAGACTGGTCAATGCTGCTTGTACTAATACTGTTGTGAAATGAGATTGGTTTCTTCATAAAGCATTTAATAGCTTGAAGTGTAATGATATGTGTGGGTGGGAAAGCAGACACCATGATTGTCCATTGGTGAAACGAGAGAACATGTGCTGCGTTTTAACCCCTGTCAACACTTTTCTGTGTTCCTCAGGTGCCGTTATCATTCAAACCTGAGACTTCCTCTGATGTATCCGCATCCCTACAGCCAAATCACCGTGGAAACTGAGTTTGACAACCCCCTCTACGAGACTGGAGGGGTGAGAGTTTTCTAGAACACCTTAGCAACCGCATAACAAAGCCTTGGCAATCACATAGAACACACAAAACCTCCTAGAGAACCCTAGTCCTGGCAATCATCCAAAACACCTGAACAACCAACCACTTAGCAACTCCACAGGAACATATCACCACCTTGGAAACCTCCCAGAGCACAATAGCAAATTCTTAGAAAGGCCCTGGCAATCAGCCCAAACATTTTAACAACTACCTAAGCACCCAGAACAACTTTTGAGAAACCATTTAATAACTCACAGATACCCCTAGCAACCACCTTGAAACTCCATAGCAACCATTTAGAACCATATTGGAACCATATAGCACTGTCCTGGTAACTTCCCAGAACACCTTAGCAACCGCATAGGTCTTGGCAATCGTCCAAACCACCTAGCAACTCTCTAGCAATCACCTACAACTGCTTAGGAACCACATAGCTCTTCCCTGGCAACTTCCCAGAGCACCCTAGCAACCACATAGGTCTTGGTAATCATCTAAAACATCTGAAAAACCACTTAGCAACTCCTAGAAAACCCTGGCAACTCCCTAGCAACCATCTAGAACCCTGTAGGAACCATATAGCACTGGCCTGGTAACTTCACAGAACACCTTAGCAACCGCATAGGTCTTGGTAATCGTCCAAACCACCTAGCAACTCTCTAGCAATCACCTAGAACTGCTTAGGAACCACATAGCACTTCACTGGCAACTTCCCAGAGCAGCCTAGCAACCACATGGGTCTTGGTAATCATCTAAAACATCTGAAACACCACTTAGCAACTCCTAGAAAACCCTGGCAACTCCCTAGCAACCATCTAGAACCCCATAGGAACCATATAGTACTGCCCTGGCAACCTCCCATTGCATCATAGCAACCACATAAATCTTGGCAATCATACAAAACATCTGAGAAACAATTTAGAAACTCCCAGAAAACCATAGCAACCATCTAGAACCCCTTTGGATCCACATAGCACTTCCCTAGCAACTCCCCAGAGCACACTATCAACTGGACAGGTCTTGGTAATCATTCAAAACATCTGAGAAACCACATAGCAACTCCCAGAAAACCCTAGCAAGTCCATAGCAACCATCTAGAACCCTGTAGGAACCCCATAACACTGCCCCTAGCAAGCCCACAAGTCTTGGAAATCATCCAAACCATCTGACAAACCACTTAGCAACTCCAAGAATACCCTTGCAACCTCCTAGCAACTCCCTAGCAACCATCTAGAATCCTGTTGGACCACATAGCACTGCCCTGGTAACTTCCCAGAGCACACTAGCAACCGCATAGGTCTTGGTAATCATTCAAAACATATGAGAAACCACTTAGCAACTCCCAGAAAACCCTAGCAAGTCCCTAGCGACCATCTAGAACCCTGTAGGAACCCCATAACACTGCCCTGGCAACTTTCCAGAGCACCCTAGCAACCCCATAAGTCTTGGCAAACATCCAAAACATCTGACAAACCACTTAGCAACTCCCAGAATACCCTTGCAACCTCCTAGCAACTCCCTAGCAACCATCTAGAACCCTGTTGGACCACATAGCACTGCCCTGGTAACTTCCCAGAGCACACTAGCAACCGCATAGGTCTTGGTAATCATTCAAAACATATGAGAAACCACTTAGCAACTCCCAGAAAACCCTAGCAAGTCCCTAGCGACCATCTAGAACCCTGTAGGAACCCCATAACACTGCCCTGGCAACTTTCCAGAGCACCCTAGCAACCCCATAAGTCTTGGCAAACATCCAAAACATCTGACAAACCACTTAGCAACTCCCAGAATACCCTTGCAACCTCCTAGCAACTCCCTAGCAACCAACTAGAACCCTGTTGGAACCACATAGCACTGCCCTGGCAACTTACCAGAGCACCCTAGCAACTGCATAAGTGTTACCAATCATCCAAAACATCTCACAAACTTCTTAGCAACTCCCAAAAAAACCCCAGTAATAGTCTAATCAGCCATTCTGAACCACATAACAAGGGCCAGGAAATCACCTAGTAGAACAACATCACCTGTGTGGGAAATGAGTTTTTTTTTTACGTGATTAAACGTGGTAATTCTCACAGCGTCTCTTGTTTATTTTCTACAGGACACAAGAGAATATGAGGTGTCCATATGAAGAGGTCCACAGACACGTCCCGTATTGCTCCAGCTCTTAGAGGAACTGATGTAAATATATCCTGACAATTCCACTCTCCCCACCTCCCCAACCTCCAGAGGAAAGGGCGCTCGTCAGCTGAGAGAGAGGGGCGTGAAGGGAAAGGGTCTGTGAAACAGGAAGTATCAGTGCAGAGATTGTTCGGCCTGTAGACGTTACTGTGGTTTTACGACATGTGACTCAACACGTATGCACTCACAGACGGAGACTCTCATTCTGCCATTCACAAATGTGTGTGTGTGTGTGTGTGTGTGTGAGACATGACAAGTGAGTGGAAAAAAAACAACTGATAGGTTTGCACAGTGTTCTTTCGCCTCAGTTCTGTAACGTATGGGACAGTCTAAACCTGAGGTGCGTGCTCCGATATAAAGGGGTCGTGGTGGCGCCGTCCCGTGTCTGTCTGTCTGTGGCCCGTCCTGCCTGCTGTCATTTTTAAGTCTTTGTACTTAGAGCAGTTTGTAGTGCAGGTTTTAAAGTAGTATTTTTTCCCCCTGCAAGTGACGTCCTACTGCAGCAGAGACCAGATGATGTATTTATTTATATATAAGTATATGTGAAATGTTCTCTGCTGTTTAATGAATACTTCATTTTTGGAGATCAAGAAAAAAATGTAACTGATTTCTCTAAAGAAATGTGAAAAATAAATTCATTTAAATCTTTTTTTAACCCTGAAGTGTCCTGATTTTATTAAAGGTGTTCATTTGAAAAGAGGACATGAAATTTTCAAATTAAATCTCTTTAATATGGAGACTTTGCTAGAGTCTCGTGCATTTCAGATGTTTCTCCTAAGAAAAGTTAAGTCTCAAACTTGCTCATTACGGTCACATTAATGACATTTTTGGGGAAATAAAGGTCCATTGTCTACGGAGTGCAACTGTCGGGTTCAGGAAGTAAAAACTCATTCAATTTCTCCGAAGGGAAGTTGACTTTGTCAATCCATGTTATTTCAGCTTTTTTTTATAACTTATCAGCTGAATTCCTAGTGAAACACTACATAACCCTTAAAGCTGTACAGAAAATTCCACCAATCAGTGAGTTGAAAAAAGCTCAAAAATATCTCTTTAGCTCCACCCACTCCCATGAAGTCCAATCGAGTCTATATCTCTCTAAGCTCTCACAATACTTAAATATTAGTTAGATAGTTAGATCTAACAGAGTTAGGTAAGTCCATACTTACCTTTTTCATCTCCTTGCGTGCTGTACCTCTATCTGACGCACCCACCGCTAGCCTAGCTTAGCACAATAAGAGGCAAAATAGTGATATTTTCCTATTTACATGTTGTGATTTGTATAGTCACAGAGTGTACAAATAACAAGGTAATGTTAAACACAGATATTTTTAACCGAATAAATATTGGTAAACTGTGTTCTCAGAATGCGAAGCACTGCTATGGTGCGTCTCAGGTGCTGCGGTTATCACTCCACCCAAATAGCAATGCTGCCTTCTGAGAATATAGTTCACAATATGTATTCGGTTAACAGATGGCTGTGTCTCATATGACCTTGTGATTTGTACACTCTGTGACTATATAAATCACAACATGTAAATAAGAAAATGTTTGCGTTTTTTTTGTCGCTTACTAGGATTAGTATGCTAGCTGTAGCCATTTACATCCAGTCTTTGTGCTAAGCTAGGCTAGCGGTGGGTGCGTCAGACAGAGTTACAGCACGCACAGAGATGAAAAAGGTATGTACTATGGACTTATCTAACTCTGGGGGATACAGTGAATAAGTCCAAAAAAGTCGGAGTGTTCCTTTAAAATATATTGTTTATATTGTATGTAATCAAAATGTGTACTTTTTTTATTCATTATGCTGTTTGTAAAGCTTCATGGGATTGTAGTTCTTTCTTTTGTAATTTTGTTCGATTTTCATAAACTTTTTTGATTCCAATCAAAGTTTGTAGTCTTGTGATTCACCTTGCAGCTGATTGGCTTGGTTCGTGGCTTATACTGTAAGTCTTTAACAAAAAAATATCCCTATTGGAAAAAAAGAATGGAAAAAATATTTCAGGAACCAGCTCTGCTGAAAAAGTGGGCGGAGACTGTTGATGATGTATAAACCACAGCAGTCACAAAGATTATAATCAGCTTTCTGTTGGCCAACATGGTGAATTTGTGTGACCAACTTGAACCCATTGTGAAACCTGAGTGGGGAAATGTTTGCTTTCATGCTAAATTCCCATTTGTGTGGATTTACATTGAAATGACTAAAAAAAAAAATGCCGAACAACAGTAAATGTGACGGACAGCTGTAGATTAATTGACCTTGACTCAAAATGATCATTCAATCGAATACTTCTACTCTCATTTTATAGCTCTATATTTTTACTGTATGTCAGTATTTGTGTCTAGATTTGCTAAGGAATCTTAAGATGAACTATTAAAAAAGCAATTTGCAATCAATAACATCTTCCTTCTGGGTATATCAGCACATCTAATGGAGTGGAAACATCCAGCCTCCTGCTTGCATGCAAATGCAACCTTTCACACGTTTCACACCTTTTCTCATTTCACCCATTTCCTTCCAATGTTTTTTTTTGAAAGTATTAAATGCATTTGTATCAAATGTGCACTTTTAGCAAAGAATCATTCAGCACAGACTGGGCACGTTTGAGGTTTAGAGACACAGGAAAAAACATCTCGCAAGTTTCTTTGGTAGAGGAGAACTGTTTGTGGCTGTCAGGAAAGATCTTGACTGATAGTCTATTTCTAAACCGCGGTTCACTTCCTCTTCGTGCATTCTGCCCATTTGACTTCACTACAGCGCATGGAGATCATGAGATGTTCATAGTTTTTCTTGTCAAGGTGAGTTGATAGTTTTTGACTTGTGCGTTTCATGTTTAATGCATCTCGTTTCATGTCACTTTATCAGTGCAGTGTCTTTTTTCAGCTCCATATTTCCTGCGTATGTCATGCATGTTGTTGAGAACCACTTTCACTTTTTTTAATATGCAAAAAAATTATTTTTAAAGAATGGTGTGTGGTTCATAGATAAGATCTGATTAATAACACTCATAGTTCCTGTAACCAGTTAACTCGCATTCAACAACAACAAACTTTGCAGAAGTAGCCAACAGAGGAAGTCGATGTTTAAACTTAAAATGTTTTCCTCTTGCAATGTCTCAGAGTGATGCGGTTGTCAGTCAAACGGGTAGTTGTACTCCTGCTAACCGTGTTCGGAGCGTGGACTCTTACTAGGACTCTATATCGAGTGCTGGAATGCCAAGGAGAGCCTCCCAGAACTCATATGGTGTCTATACGGTCTCGGAACTGGAACCAGACACAGTATCGGTATAATCACAACACCCCAATAGTGTTTGTGGGGGGTGTTCCACGATCAGGGACCACTCTGATGCGTGTCATGCTCGACGCCCACCCTGACATCCGCTGCGGGGAGGAGACGCGGGTGATCCCTAGGATGCTGGCCCTGCGGCAGGCATGGGGAAGGCAGGACTCGGGCGAGCGCTGGGCTCTGGAGGACGAGGGAGTCAGTCAAGAGATGCTGGACGCTGCAACCACTGCCTTCCTCCTGGAGGTCATCGCACGTCATGGAGAACCTGCACGAGTGCTGTGCAATAAAGACCCCTTTACACTGAAGAGCGCAGTTTATCTGTCACGCATTTTCCCCAAGTAAGATTAGAGGATTATTTTATTTCATGCTAATTAAAAAGCTCTACACAAAGACATTTACATTATAGTTATTAATATTATTTTTGCTTGATTAAATCAATATTTAAAAAATCTCTATTTGTATTACACGACCACCATTTAAAGGAGTAGTTCACTTATAAAAAAAACTTTTGCTGATAATTTACTCACCCCCGTGTCATCCAAGATGTCCATGTCTTTCTTTCTTCAGTCGAAAAGAAATTAAGGTTTTTGATGAAAACATTACAGCATCTTTCTCCATATAATGGACTTCAATGGGAACCAAACGGTTCAAGGTCCAAAAGACACTTTCAGTGCAAACTGCAAACTGTTCAAATGGCTTTAAACGATTTCAGACGATTAATAAGGGTTTTATCGAGCGAAACGATCGCTCATTTAATAAATAAATTACAAAGTTTACGTTTTATAATTAATCTCAAATGGTCGCCTTGCTCTGTTCTATGATTTCGCATTCGTGACTCTCCTGTTCGAACTCGTTCATCAAAATGAGCGAATCTTTTTTCTGAGTCAATTTTTCATTTCGTTGAATGAACCAAATAACTCGGAAAAGATTCGTTCATTTTGATGAACAAGTTCGAACAGGAGAGTCACAAACGTGCATCACAGAACAGAGCAAGGCGACCATTTGAGATTAATTATAAAACTTAAACTTTGTAATTTATTTATTAAATGAGCGATCGTTTCGCTTGATAAGACCCTTATTCATTGTGTGGAATCGTTTAAAGCCCCTTGAACAGTTTGCACTGAAAGTGTCTTTTGGACCTTGAACCGTTTGGTTCCCAGTTAAGTGCATTAAATGGAGAAAGATGCTGTAATGTTTTCATCAAAAACCTTAATTTCTTTTCGACTGAAGAAAGAAAGACATGGACATCTTGGATGACACGGGGGTGAGTAAATTATCAGCAAAAGTTTTAAAAAAAAAGTGAACTACTGATTTAAGAGTTTGGGGTTAGTATGATTTAAAAATTGTGTATATATATATATATATATATATATATATATATATATATAACAATTATAATAATTCATTACAATAGCGCTTTTCTAGGCACTCAAAGCGCTTTACATAGAGAGGGGAATCTTCTCAACCACCACCAGTGTGCAGCATCCACCTGGTGGTGGTTGAGAAGATATATATATACACTTGGTGGTGGTGGTGGTGGTTGAGATATATATATATATATATATATATATATACTTTTTAAATCATGCTAATTTTCTCAAATTTTCTACTCATTTTCTTATTATATCTATTCTTATTATAATATTCTTATTTCTAATAATGTTCCATAATATTTTTTGTGGATTCTTTGATGAACAGAAAATTCATTTATTAACTATTATTTTTTTTGTTTGTTATAATGTGAAAGCCTTGACTATCACCTTTGATAAATTTAATGCATTACTGCTAAATAACTATATATATATATATATATTATGGAATATTATTAGAAATAAGAATATTATAACAAAAATAGATATAATAAGAAAATAATAAAAAGAATAATATAAGAAGAAATGTTTCTCAAGCAGCAAATCATCATATTAGAATGATTTTGAAGGATTATTATGTGACACTGAAGACTGAAGTAATGATGCTGAAAATTCAGCTTTATATCACAGGACTATATTAGGCCTACATGCGGGAAGATGCAACCTTAAGAACAATGTGCATTTACTTTTAAATTGTAACATATTTAGATGCTAAACAAGTTTCGCATCTGCAGGATGATGATATATCAGCCAATGTTATTATAGGAAATAAATAGGAACCTTTGCTAATTTAGATGTTATAGAACAAAATGTAAAATGATTCAAAGAGACCATCTTACCCCACTACATATATATATATATATATCAACAATTCTGTTTAAAATTACAATTTGACAATTTAAATAACTGAATAACTGATGACAGAGAAAGCAGAATCCCAGTAAAAGAGATTCATCTGAAAGGTATTTACATAAAGATTTACATAATTAATTGCCCATATTTTCATTGAAGAAATGTCATTATAGCAACAATGCAAATTGAATGATTTCACTCAAGTAACCTATTATAATGGAAGCAAAGATGTTTTAAATGTACATCTAATAATTGTAAATACTGAATAATCACCCCATTAATTAATCTATTAACATCATACAATGTCCTAGATCCCCTATGTTCCAGAGACACAAAATCTATTTAACTCAAAAATGTTTTGACTGACTAAATCTCATACATGTTGATTGTGTAAATTACGGTTAATTTGTATGTCCGTTCATCAAAAGTGCTGAGATGAGATTCTGTGTCAATACTGTATATTCAAATATGTTGCTTTGCCTTTGTTGTTGTTCAAATGTCTTTCCATTTCTCATCCTTTTCATGGCATTTTACTCATTCCACCTGTCATCATCTGTCCTTTCAGCTCGAAATTCCTGCTAATGCTCAGAGATGGTCGAGCGTCAGTTCACTCTATGATCTCCAGACGAGTGACTATCTCTGGCTTCAACCTGTCCAGCTACAGGGACTGTCTGACTAAATGGAGCAATGCAGTTGAAGTGATGCTCTCCCAGTGTATGGCTGTATCCCAAAGGCGGTGTATGGTGGTCCGCTATGAGGATCTGGTGCTGCAGCCACGAGCCACCATGCAGCGTGTGCTCCATTTTCTCAAATCCCCATGGCATGAAGGGGTGCTTCACCATGAGGAGGCCATTGGACGGCCAGGAGGGGTATCACTGTCTCGGTATGGTGAAATTACATTCTATGTTTTAGGCCAAGGATAGGCACCGTTGGTCCTGGAGTGCCGCTGTCCTGCATAGTTTAGCTCCAAACCTGAAAAAAGTCCTGTAGCCTTGGGCTGCGTGCGTTCAAAATTGTCACCTTCCCTCAATTACTATTCCCTACATAAGTCCACTAATATAGTCCAGTTGAAGGAGTGAAAGAAGACGAGTGAGTAATTCAGACACTGAGTCGCAGGAAGGGCATAGATTGTGCTTGCGGTTTACTCAGCAAACTGGCAACTCCAGTAGTAATGAAAATATTTATTTTCAACTCTGTCATGGAAACTAGCATCTATAAACCTTTATGATATTACGCTGTGGCCACATTGGACTTGCGTTTTAGCCTTACGTGACAACAGCTTTTTGGGTTCTGGAAGACTGGAAGAACTGGAAGAGAGAGCTACTCTCTGAAATTAACATTTGAACTCACTGTTGTGAAGTTAGCATAGCCATTTGAGACGAAAAGTCTCACCTAAGATAACTTCTCTCTCTCTTCCCAGTCCTTCTACCTCACCTGAAACTCACCCAAAATCTATATGGTTTTAATGTGAACAATTATCAATCATACAGTTTTATGTTTGGAATCATTTGAAATGTCTTAATGCGACTGTGTCTCATTCCCACAAAAGTAAACCAAAAGATAATAAAGTTTTTAAGAGTTTAGAAATGTCTTGCACACAGAAGGGTGTGACGTTCAGGGAAATGGTTTTCTGCTCGCAAATTTCCATTGTTAGCTAGTGTTTTCATGTGAAAGAGGTTTCTTTCTGTCTCATATGTAATGATGCTCAGATATCATTAAAAACCTTTTAATTTATGGAGTCTGATAAGTCAGTCTATTTCATAATACTTTGGTACGCGGAAAGACAGTAACACGCATAGACCTTCACCCGCTGATCGAATGCCGACAGTTCGATGAAAACGCAAACTTTTGAAAACGGTTTCAAAGTGTACGTTATTGAAAACGATCTCCTTGTTAAGAACAAAAACGCGATTCTCTGAAGACTATGATGTCATGCACATTGCATATTATGTGTCAGTATAGTGTTTCATCGCCATCTAATGGCCTGGCAGCAAATACAGAGTTGTTATCCGATTGCGCGGATATGTGTGAATCGGGTTCGTTTGTCATGTAAAAGTACCGTCAGTGATCCTAAAGACATTGATTAGCTTGTTCGGGTGTGTTCGATTAGGATTGGAGGAGCTAATCTCTGCAGGACAGCGGCACTCCAGGACCGACGTTGCCTATTCCTGTATTTCGGCCTTCTTCTGTTTCTTGTCAATACTCACTTCACGCTATGTTTTTAAGAACCGAACGCTCCACGGATCAGGTGATCAAACCAGTTAACCTGGAAGCTCTCACACGATGGGTCGGCCACATCCCAGCAGACGTCCGGGTGGACATGGAGAAGATCGCTCCAATGCTCCGTAAACTGGGCTACAACCCCAACGCCAATCCCCCAGACTATGGTCCACCAGATCCAGAAGTGATCAACAATACTCAAAGGGTATATTTGAACAGAATATATGCAATTCAATTCATTCAGTGCAACTCGAAGATCAGAGTGAGTTGCTGAACTCTATGAAATAAAGATAAGATATTATCTTTATTTTTATAAAGATAAAATTAAAAATAAAGGCTCTTATCAGTGTTGGGGAAGCAACTCTGAAACTGTAGTTTGACAAGCTACAAATTAAACTTAAGATACTATAAAAAAGTAGCTACACTGAAACTACTTTGATAATGATTTATATAATAACTGAATAAATGCTGGAAAAGCTACACTGTTTTAAAAATAACTGAGCTGCTGCAAACTACTGAAAAATGTTAGTTAAGTTAGTAGCGTCGCTACTTGTAGTGAGCTACCCAACAATGGTTCTCGGCATCTGTTGTATTGCATATTTTGGTCTGAAAATAGTTCTTCTAAAAATTAAAAGGTTTTTCCGGGAACAAAAATGATTCTTCTATGGCATCATTGTGAGATAAATGTTGTTGTTTTTTTGTAAAACCATTTTTTTTGATAAATGTAATAAAGTAATTTCCATTTTTTCCATGTTTTTTTTGTTTTTTCCTTAGGTATTGAGAGGAGATTTTAAAACTCCTACAAACCTGAAAAGATGGACACAAGTAGGTGCATGCTTTTGATTGTGTAACATACTTTGGCCCCAAAAACTATTTTTGAAACACGTCTGAATGTCATTAAGTTGATGACAAACATTAAAGCAAGTGTCATTTAGAAAGACAGAACACAAGCACACATTTCAGGCTAAACTGTTGACATAAATATGTTTGTTAGGTTTGAAATTATGTATAAAAAAGATTGTATACTTTCTGGGTTTCAAAGTTTAGTAGAACATAGTTAAGATGAACTACATGTGTGGTTATGCTACTAGGTTCAATTGGTTTTAGTTGATATAAAGTCATTGCACAAGCCAGTTGTAGAACATCGTCATATTAGTGGGCACTGTGTAAGTTGCATTATGATTAGCCTATAGCCTAGGCCGCTGTCTTTAATTGTTTTGCATTAACCAAGCTCATTTTGAAAACATTTCTTTCTTTTGACAGGTATCTCCAAAAATAAATTCTAAAGGAGGAAGAAACTGAACAGAGTTCTGCATTGATTGTAATACATTCTTGTGTTCAACTTTGGATAACTTGACAATTTTTGTGCCATACACCTTGGAGGCCTTTCACATGATAGAGAGCAACCTGATGAGGAATATCATTATTATGCAATAACTGTGGTTATATTCCTGTGTCACCTATTATTTTGAAATCACCAGAATCATTAAGAGAATCAAGTGACTAAATCTTAATATGTACCACATGTTGTAAAAAGAACAAACTGGACAGGTATTTACTTCCTGATGAAGAGTATTAAGCGATGGAAGCTAACGTCACTGACGTGAACTTCATAAACACTGCAATTTTGTGTTATTGGGAAATGAGAAAACCGTGACGTTGTGCTTGGTGACGCACTGAATGCTGTTGCTATGTGCCAGCGTTCATTCTCTTGACCTAGATATTGTTAAACGGAGCCATTCTTTTTTCTATTGCCACAATTAACTCGTTTACATCAGTGTTTCTAAAAGTGCATTATTTCAATAAAATTGGTTCATAGAAATCGCGCAATGAACCCTATATGTGTCATTATTTTGCTTTCAAAACATTTGATCAAGGCAAACCGTGTGCAGAAAATATCACTCCGCCGGTCCCCCAACCCCCACGGATACACACCAATAAACAAATCTGTTTTACGTCCACAAAACTATTGTATAAAATTATTATTCGTATATGTTCAGTATAACACATGTGTTATTGTTTCTCATGAAACCAAGTTTTCAAATTTAATAGCTGCAGTTCTTTTATAGTGCGTTGGGCGTAGCGGCGGAAGGATACAGCGCGTTGTGTATAAATACCCGGATCTTTTGTTTTGACCAGATAGAATCGCTCCCGTGACGAAAGAAAAGAGACTCATAAACTCCGTGCTCCTCAAGAAAAGAACATTTGTTTGTAAGTATAAAGTAAATCTACCCAAACGACGCCAGCTATATAACTGCTTAAAAACAACCGAATTTTGTTTGATTCGAGGTCTTTTTCGAATGTTTATTCGTACATTTTTGAAAAAGCTAACGCGATAGCTTTTATGCTAACTTAGCCGGCCTGGTGGTTTCTGAGGACCAAATTTCTTTGTTCTTTGGTATTTAGTTTATTTTTTTTTTTTTACCATTTTAATGTGTTTAAGTATTAACATAATGTTGAATAATCGTCGATGAGTTATGCGTGTTTTATACGCATTCAGTAATTTGGCGGCGAATTAGGCCGCAAAATAGGGCGGTGAGGTCATAGAATATCTGGATTAATCTGCGTTTATAACATTTGTCAGTCGTCGACACGTTATTAAACTATTCATCCCATCGAATTTTAACTCATTTTTAATATGTATAACGTTAGTTATGCATTCTACTTGTTTATTCTAGCCGTTTTCTGTTAATGTCGCCATTTTGTTTTCAATCGCCCATTTGTTAAACCTGACTCATAGCTGTGTCAGCAGTAATGATGGCGTAAGCACAGCTACCTCTGTTTCTTTTGATTAACCTTCTAGAAAATTCCTGGGCTTGTCTTACGATCTCAAATGAGCATTTTCATTGCTCCGCATCAACGCTTGTCCATGACAAGTTGATTGTTTTTTTTTTTTTTGAAGTGGTGAGTGAAATATTTTTACTTCCCCAACCGGACAAGTAACAGTTAGCCTTAAACCGTTAGCCTTATCGATTAAAACGTCGATATCAAAATAACCAGGGCCTAACCGAACCGCGAGAAGGTTCTGTTTTACTAGGGTTACGTTAGTGTAACTTAAGTATGGATAATGTGCATACTGACTAACAAGGATGCGCAGTTGAGAAATCGAAACAAACGAACAGCACACAAGCTTAGTTAATAAACTGCGTAAAACTACTAAATGTTTTTAATTTAACATGATAGTAACTGGGCAACATCACACATCCAAGAGTTTCTGTCTTCAATACCATCACGATTGAAAATCTGACCATTTCATATAACTTTCTGTTAAATAAATTAGTTGATATTAATGTCACATACATTTTTATTTTAAGTTGACTTTTATTTCAGTAGTAGAAATAAACATTCCATGGAACCATAACTCATCTCACAGCAACACTCATCTGTTTCATTACTTAATGATTTTGTGTTTTGATCAAATTGGTTGTCAAAGATTCAGTAACCCATTCATAAACCTTTGCCATTCCAAATTTTTTAAATGACTCCATTAATATGATATCTGGCGGTTAGCTTAATTTTTAAGTCAACTTATCCCCCCTCCCACTTAACACTTACTTGTATATTTAAAACCATCTCATAACATTTATGCAGTTGTAATTTTTCAGTGCAAGTGCGTTAATTTGAGAGGTAACAGCCATATTGTGTCGTTCAAATTGAATAAGCCAAGAATAGAAATTTAAAATCTAAAAACATTTTAAGAATTTTAAACTTTACATGATCTTTATAAGGCTATGGGGGAAATGCCCTGGGGTAAATCGCAAATGCAGGTTTTTGTTTTTCCAGTCTGATTTAAAACACAAAATATTGCTTCAGAATAAATTATATTTGCACCAAAAGTCCTATTTGTCCAGACAAGCAACTGTTTTACTCTGACAAGGGCATAGCATTCACCAATGCAACATGTGTTGAAATCAATTTGTATTTGTTTGCTTTCTAGCGTAAAGATGCAGATTTTTGTGAAGACGCTGACTGGCAAGACCATCACTCTTGAGGTTGAGCCCAGCGACACCATTGAGAATGTCAAGGCCAAGATCCAGGACAAGGAAGGCATTCCTCCTGACCAGCAGCGTCTGATCTTCGCTGGTAAACAGTTGGAAGATGGACGCACGCTGTCCGACTACAACATCCAGAAGGAGTCCACCCTCCATCTGGTGCTCCGCCTCAGAGGTGGAATGCAGATCTTCGTAAAGACCTTGACTGGCAAGACCATCACTCTTGAGGTGGAACCAAGCGATACCATTGAGAATGTCAAGGCCAAGATCCAGGACAAGGAAGGCATTCCTCCTGACCAGCAGCGTCTGATCTTCGCTGGCAAACAGTTGGAAGATGGTCGCACACTGTCCGACTACAACATCCAGAAGGAGTCCACCCTCCATCTGGTGCTCCGCCTCAGGGGTGGTATGCAGATCTTCGTAAAGACCTTGACTGGCAAGACCATCACTCTTGAGGTTGAGCCCAGCGACACCATTGAGAATGTCAAGGCCAAGATCCAGGACAAGGAAGGCATTCCTCCTGACCAGCAGCGTCTGATCTTCGCTGGCAAACAGTTGGAAGATGGTCGCACGCTGTCCGACTACAACATCCAGAAGGAGTCCACCCTCCATCTGGTGCTCCGCCTCAGGGGTGGTATGCAGATCTTCGTAAAGACCTTGACTGGCAAGACCATCACTCTTGAGGTTGAGCCCAGCGACACCATTGAGAATGTCAAGGCCAAGATCCAGGACAAAGAAGGCATTCCTCCTGACCAGCAGCGTCTGATCTTCGCTGGCAAACAGTTGGAAGATGGACGCACTCTGTCCGACTACAACATCCAGAAGGAGTCCACCCTCCATCTGGTGCTCCGCCTCAGGGGTGGTATGCAGATCTTCGTCAAGACCCTGACTGGCAAGACCATCACTCTTGAGGTTGAGCCCAGCGACACCATTGAGAACGTCAAGGCCAAGATCCAGGACAAAGAAGGCATTCCTCCTGACCAGCAGCGTCTGATCTTCGCTGGTAAACAGTTGGAAGATGGACGCACGCTGTCCGACTACAACATCCAGAAGGAGTCCACCCTCCATCTGGTGCTCCGCCTCAGGGGTGGTATGCAGATCTTCGTCAAGACCCTGACTGGCAAGACCATCACTCTTGAGGTGGAACCAAGCGACACCATTGAGAACGTCAAGGCCAAGATCCAGGACAAAGAAGGCATTCCTCCTGACCAGCAGCGTCTGATCTTCGCTGGCAAACAGTTGGAAGATGGTCGCACACTGTCCGACTACAACATCCAGAAGGAGTCCACCCTCCATCTGGTGCTGCGCCTCAGGGGTGGTATGCAGATCTTCGTAAAGACCTTGACTGGCAAGACCATCACTCTTGAGGTTGAGCCCAGCGACACCATTGAGAACGTCAAGGCCAAGATCCAGGACAAAGAAGGCATTCCACCTGACCAGCAGCGTCTGATCTTCGCTGGTAAGCAGTTGGAAGATGGACGCACGCTGTCCGACTACAACATCCAGAAGGAGTCCACCCTCCATCTGGTGCTCCGCCTCAGGGGTGGTATGCAGATCTTCGTAAAGACCCTGACTGGCAAGACCATCACTCTTGAGGTGGAACCAAGCGACACCATTGAGAACGTCAAGGCCAAGATCCAGGACAAAGAAGGCATTCCTCCTGACCAGCAGCGTCTGATCTTCGCTGGTAAACAGTTGGAAGATGGACGCACGCTGTCCGACTACAACATCCAGAAGGAGTCCACCCTCCATCTGGTGCTCCGCCTCAGGGGTGGTATGCAGATCTTCGTCAAGACCCTGACTGGCAAGACCATCACTCTTGAGGTTGAGCCCAGCGACACCATTGAGAACGTCAAGGCCAAGATCCAGGACAAGGAAGGCATTCCTCCTGACCAGCAGCGTCTGATCTTCGCTGGCAAACAGTTGGAAGATGGACGCACGCTGTCCGACTACAACATCCAGAAAGAGTCCACCCTCCATCTTGTTCTGCGTCTTCGTGGGGGCAATTAAAATGCTTAAGTTTAATATACAAGTCTTGAAAACTATCAGACCAATTACCATTTCTTTTGTTCATCTTAATCATTCAATAAAGTTCTGGCATTCCTGATTTTGTTGTCTGTCTCATCTCTTAAGTAATTCACAAAATTCTTTAATGGATTACAAATGTTTACATTTTTGGCCATTAAAATTGTTTTATAGGTGTTTTTAATGGTTTAAAGTTAAATTAGTCAAATTTAATGCATTGAGTATTTATAGTCTTTAATAGTCTTTAATTGTGTAGGTGCACTTTAATTACATTTGTTTTGGGACATGAGAAATAACCCTTAACTAAAGGTGGCTCTTTCAATGTGTTAATGTAATTTCATGTTATCTACTACAGGTTTTCACAAAAAATGTGTTAAATTTGATTAATTTAGATTTTCCATTTAAATATAAAAATGTACAAAATACAATGAACAGTTCATTACTGCATGAGGATTTGAGAATTCTATTAAAAAAAAAACATAAGTCTTACATTTTAGGGTTGGTTTCTTCATAATGAGGTTGATCATCTTTAGGGATCCATGGCATAAAGACTGAAAAGCCCTCTTCTAATACATGGGTCATTCTCTTGTCATAGCTACCTCTGTGGCACGCTGCAATTGTTCATCCAGCCACAAGATGCCACCAGAGCTTTTGCAAAAAAGCTATTCGTTATCCCTTTTAATGCCGTTATACTTTTTGGCATTCATGTCTGTTACGGCTCTTTTAAATGTATTTCGTCTGACCCTTGAGTCATTATGGGTAGTGATGATAAATGCAGGTGCACTTTAAATCTTTCTGGTTTGGTTGAGGGCAGTTCAACTATATTGTAAAAACTGTTTAAGGGCTATTTAATTCCAGTCAACTAGCAGAGCATTCATTTCGTTTGTTAAGTACGAGGCGATCTAGCGCTGAAATGTGTTTTTGAAATCAAGTGATCAAGTGCTCGTTGCCGCAGCGATCATTGGCGCGGATACTCTTGTGGCTCGCGCAGTCTTCCGACGAGGTGTCACGCAGTCACCCGTGGTGGAGACTCTCGTCTATTCTTATAAAACAAAATGCACACAAACTTATCCTTGCCTGATATTCAACCACTGATAAACATAATCGGTTTGGATGAGAAAAAGAAAAAAACCTATTCGAGTCTTATATAGCCTAAACACGAAGTTTGAAATGTCTTTAAAACAAAAGGAAAAATTGAATCAGAGAACAGACAGTTCAACAATGAATGGACACAGAAATACGCGTTTATTGTCGTTGACGCGAGTGTGCTATGGCTCACCTAAACTGAGTAACGCTATTTTAAATAATTTGCCTTGATAAAATATCGTTTTTATTTTTGTTGGTGGAGATACATTTAATGTTGCCTGTCAACACAGTATTTCCATTCAAATGTAACAATGCATTGGGCCTATGTGTCTTATTGCATCACAATGTGCATATGTTGTTCTGCATTTACAAAATAGAATATATTGATTCCTTCAGTATGTTTTAATTTCTTTATTTGTTACCATAATCACTCATATTCTCCGGCCCCTTATTTTGCTTCAGTTTCTTGGCCCCAATTCCAAATGAATTAGCCCTAAGAGAAGCTGATTTATTTGGTACTTTTTGCACAAGAAAGCTTGCAGCATTTTATTGGGTTGGTCATAAATAAACCATTATCTAACATCTGCTTTGTTAAACCATTCAGTTTGTTTTGGCATCAAATAGTGTAGCAGACACTTCATTCAAATTGACCAGCAGCACGTCTTGAGCAACCTAAAGTTGTGTATTGTGTAAAGATACAAATCAAGCTTTGTGTTAGTAATTCCAGGCATTCACATATAACGTCTCTTGACTACTTACTGCATCGTCTTGGACAGAATCCAATCAGCCAGCCATACCTAAAATACTTAACTGGTCTTCTGAAAATAGTGCAGCACTAAATGAGAAACAAGCTGAGCTGAAAACAACGACACTCATTGAAAGCAATAGATAAAGCTCTTAATGTTGGCCTGTTAAATGTTCAGTAAAGAATGCCATTGTAGTGTTTAAAAAGTAAGATTGGTCCGGTGAGTGTTTTAGTGTGTCTGATTTTATATTTTTCTGTATTCAACGAATTTCATGTATAAGGTTAGTTACATAAGGACATTTAGACTATTCCGATGCATCACAGTGTCATGTGTTGTCAGAACATTTCAGTCACTAAATACACACACATTTCTATGCACTTGCAAATATCATTTATAATTTGTGGTTTATCATATTTGTCATGCTCCTCAGGGCCCAAACAGTTTTCTTGTTTTCCATGCAGTCCAGATTTGTCTTAGATTAAAAGTAAAAAATCACATGATTAGCCTTTTTAAAAAGCTCTTTTGATGATGTTTCGCCTTCAACCTGATCGACATTTCACAGTATTATAGTATTAAATGTCAAATGAGGTGAAAGTTTCAGTTTGACGGATTCGTTGATGTTAGACTTGCACGGGCACACTAAGAGAATCCTGATACGCAACTGAAACATGAAACTCCTTTCTGGAGTGTGAATGCTTTTATTTGGCAACCTTCAGATGGGACGCCATAATGATATGTCGAGTAACTACTGAAAGGCGTTCACTGTCTTATTTGTTTTGCTTTAGGTGAAATTTTAACTGAACAGTCTATACTTTGATGTTTCCAAAATGAGTAAAGTGTGGTCATTACCTGCATTGAGACAATTGTAATATATAGGTCCCTGAATACCAACACTGTCACAAAAAAGAGAGAGATTCAAACATGCAAAATTTCTTAGGATGGATCAATTATGTGCTTCAATACATTTCAACTTATATTTATGTTTTCCTCCCCAAAATCTGTGAAAAATATCAAAGATACTGCGTCATAACTTTTCAAGTCACAAAGATAAATATAGCTGCGTCACCACGGCTAAGACACAGATAAGAGATTCAAGTAATTGTGTTACATACACATGAGTTATCAGTGGCAAATACTTATCCAATAAAGATACAATACTCTAATCATGTTCTTCCAGCGGCTCTGTTTGAACATTTATTGTGCCACTTTCATAATTCGCTCTGTCAGACATGATACGCAATGTTCTTAAAATACATAAATGATTGTATTATAATTAAAATATCATTCAAATCAAATCTGCATATAGGTCTGGCAAAATTAACATAATAGGATGATTTAAATGCATAGATACTGCAGAATAACTTATTAATTTTCTCAACAGGACATGTTTTTATTATCGCCCTGTCAGTTAAGTGAAGCCTTGAGACTTGTCGTGGAAATTTCTTGCCTATAGAGCTTAAATAACAATTGAAGAACAACAAATGAAGATCTCGAAAGTCAAATATAAGTATTTATTTCTTGCAAGAAAGGCAGTTCACACACAGACAGACTCTGATATGAGAAGGGCCCCGGTCTTCTCATTTTACACAGTTTATATACAAAAGAACATCCTCCAAAATGTACTCCTGCCTTTCTTATCTTCACTCTCAGAAAAAAAGGTACAAATGCTGTCACTGGGGCTGTACCTTTTCAAAAGTACCTAAAGGGTCCATATTGGTACCTTAATGGTACATATTTGCACCTAAAATGTACATATTAGCACCTAAAAAGTATATATTAGTACCTAAAATGAAAAAAAGTTTTCCCTTTTGAAAAGGTATAGCCCCAGTGACGGCTTTTGTACCTTTTTTCTGAGAGTGTACAAGAGCTTGTGTTTTTCTTTACCAAAGGCCCCATACAGTTCTTATACCCACACATAAACACACATAAACACACTAAACAACTAAATATTTGTTTTGCATCTTGTCAAGCTTATCTATTTTTGAGAATTTCCTTCTGTCCTTTTGGACACGTCTTATTGACCCATTTGTATATGGAAGATAATCTTTAGCCTTGTTCACTTTAAAAAAAAAAAAAAAAAAAAAAAACTTTCGCTGATAATTTACTCACCCCCATGTCATCCAAGATGTCCATGTCTTTCTTTCTTCAGTTGAATAGAAATTAAGGTTTTTGCTGAAAACATTCCAGGATTTTCTCTATATAACTTCAATGGGAACCAAACGGTTCAAGGTCCAAATGAGAGTTTTAGTGCAGCTTCAAAGGGCTTTAAACGACACCAGACGATGAATAAGGGTCTAATCTAGCGAAACGATCGGTCATTTAAAAAATAAATAAAAAAGATTTATAAGCTCAAATGTTCGCCTTGCTCTGTTGTGATGCGCATTCGTGAACAAAATGAACAAATCTTTTTTCGAGTCATGACTCGAAGGGTCCTGGATAAGACCCTTATTCATCGTCTGGTGTCGTTTAAAGCCCTTCGAAGCTGCACTGAAAGTGTCTTTTGGACCTTGAACCGTTTGGTTACCAGTAAAGTTCATTATATGGAGAAAATCCTGAAATGTTTTCATCAAAAACATTAATTTATTTTCGACTGAAGAAAGAAAGTCAGCAAAAGTTTTTTTTTTTTAAAAAGTGAACTACTCCTTTAACACATCTATATACTATTTTAAAGAACACACAAACTGTATACATATATGTTTCAAGACATATATTTAAAAGAAAATGTTCTCTTACAGCCTTACGTGCCGTTTCAGGGTTAAAACAAAAATATGGTTTGTCAGGTGGTCAAAAATATCGCCTGTCAGGTTGAGAACCAACAAAAAATATGGGAGGCCTTTCTATCTTGCAATCATAAATTTAGCAATAATGGGGGCTAGTATCCATACAATATTTTCTCCTTAAACAGCTGTTGAAAGATGCCAAACAAAGTGAATTCGTGTATTAGATCTTCCAGGCAGTCTCTTATTATCACCCATGGTGGTAAACAAACATATATCCTACTATAACTGCATTACCCAGAATCCTCTGGTTCATAGGTGGCGCCTGGAGCATCGTAAACATGATAATCACACAGCAAGAGCGCTATAAAACCTGCTTGATCAGCGAGCCGGACTTTAACATCACTCACAGCTGTAATGTACGTGGCCATAAAGCCAGAAGAGCATTAATAACTCAATGACCAGAGTTTTATGGCTTTATCGCGTATGTAAGTGATAGTTTGTTCAGCTGTTGAGGACTCACTCGTGCTTTGAGCTCCGTGCCCTTTCTGGAAGAATTGACTTTATTCTCAATCATTTGCGTTCATTTGTAACGTGAACTGTGTGATATTAGGATGGCGGTGTCTAAATCCACATTAGCGATCGTTTTTTTAGTTCTGGGAAGTTTGGCAGTTTTGTTCGGGACTGTCCTGGTGTTTGTTGGACCGATTATAATAGACGATCAAATAGTGAAGGTAAGTTAAACACCTCACAGGTGCACGAGGCGCTCTAATCAAACATGTTTGCATTTTTAAATGACATTAAGTGGCAAAACCCCGTGTTTTAGTGTCGAAAATCCTTGAACTGAGCTTTATATGACCTTCTATAGTGGCTTTGTTGCGTTAATAAAATGCGTTTAAAATAAAATGCATAAATGGGAACGATTGTTAAGTATTTAATAATAGGCTAGCTAGCCCGATTATATTAATAATGTGCTACAAACATACCTAGTACTTGAAATCTAAACTAAGATTCAATCGTTGTGGTAGTCTTAGTTTGTTAAACTTGTAATCAATCGCATTATCAGATTCGTAAGTACTGACGCCTTTGTTTTCTTCTGAAGATGTTTTCTTGTTTTTACAAATGCTATTTGCAGGGGTTTGTTCTTGTGTTATTAAAAAATCCTTAATGTTCCTTAAACCGCAAATTAGCATATTTGACTGAAGACTGGAGTAATGATGCTGAAAACTCAGCTCCGTTCACAGGAATAAATTTAAGTTTAACTTTACAAAAGAAACATTAGAAAAACAATTTTACAATATTACTTTTTTTTTTTTTTATCAAATTAATGCAGCCTTGGTGAGATTACTGCACATACGAGACCTTTTTAATGATAATTTGAGTAGCCTATTAATTACTGTTCCTCATCTCCTTTCCTTTTTCAATCACACTTATTTATTTATTTATTTATTTTTTTGGTGTGACAAATTTACAAATTGTCTGTGTTGTCCTTCAACCGGCCATTAATCTGTATGTAATAAATAATTATAAAATGTTTTAAGTTCAGCATATCCCACTCTGATTACTAACTAACCATATTTGCATACTTCAAATCCTCACAGAATGTAGAGATAAACCCGAAGAACGATCTATCCTACACTATGTGGAAGGACATCCCGGTTCCCTTCTTTATGTCTGTATATTTCTTCCATATCGTCAATCCTGATGAAATCCTAAAAGGAGAAAAGCCAATGGTGATACAGAGGGGGCCGTATGTTTACCGGTAAGAAATGTTCCCTTCTTTTTCTGTAAATGTATCATAAAACTGTGGTATTACACATTTTATTAACATGTTTAATTTAGGTTCCAATACAATAGTAAAGTTCTGTACATTGAATTATTAGGATGGTCATTATATCCTGTTTTTCTGTATTGGTCAGATTTCCTACCCAACCTTTTTTCTCTCTATTGTAAGTTAAATGAAACGGATTACTGAGACTCTTGGGGACTCTAGTGAGCTTTTGTCTCAGCAAGAGAGTCCTGGCATTCTTCTTGTTTTATTCTTGTTGAAAAAGGTATCACTCTGTTTTCAATACATGTTCCCTAAACCTGTAAACAAGTTTGCTCCACCTCTATGTAAATCCCTCCCACTAAGTGTATATATTGCAATGTAAAAGTTCCCTTAATCAGACTATCCTTGAGATGACTACTGTGACGCAATGAAGAACTTCTGCGTGAAAGATACCTCAAAGTCTCCTGTATGTTGCTTGGAAGAAAAACTTCCACGCCATAGGGCTTCACTTGCAGGTCAGAAACACAACAAATCCATAGGGATTGTACAAATCACTAGATCTGTCTTGACTGGACATGGTTTTGTTGATGTTCTGACCTGCAAGTGAAGCCCTATGGCGCTGAAGTTCATGGTGCGTTTGCATGTGCATTCTGTCAGTTGTCCAGGCAGGACCACCATAATGTCTGGTATTCGTCCCCTCAGGATATAAAGTGTCCTGTCCATCCCAGAGTGACTTGTAGAGATATAACTATGCGCAATATACCTCGAGGTGACTGGCCCTACATTTAAAAAAACATCCCCTTTCTTGATGGACTCGTGATCTTTACCACATACATGAGGTTTGTTTGCTTTAGACGCACTATACAGTTGGTAGGTCTGTCTGGTGGCCTTAAACTTGCCTGAAGGGCTGAATTTATTTATTTATTTTTTATTTATTTATTTTTTTCCCTTGACAGACTGTTAAATGTTTAAGTAGATTAGGAAAACAAATTTAATTTTACAGTTGAATAGTAATATATGCTATCAAAATGGTTGTGTTCAGTAATGTTTTTTATTATTATTATTTTTTTTTTTAAGATCAAAAGTCTTATTTTATTAGGGTATGCATCCTTGGTGAGCTTAAGATCCTGATTTCAGCAACATAAAATCGTACCAGCCTAAAACGTTTGAACCGTGGGATGCATTTCTTTTTTTTTCTTTTTTTTTAATTGAACATTTTTAAATCATACTATCTGTTTTGCAATATTTCCCACAGCTTTTCTTTTTTTGTGCATTCAACAAATTTATCCTTTTTTTCTTTATTCCCTAATCTGCATCTGTCTATTTTATTATTATTATTATTATTATTGGAGTGGAACTGTGATCCTACCCTTGAGCCATGCATACTAGAGCATTTCACTGAGTAAATACAGACACTGCTGGAACTGAACGAGAAGAAAGGTTTTCTAACTTCTTAAAATGATGCTAATCCTAACATTTTATTCGCAGCCTCTATCAGGAATTAAAATAAGATTCCACATAAGAACATTTTTATTTAGAGTATTCACAATTTTATACACTGTCCAGTCAAAAAGCTGTTTGGATTTCAAAAGGGCAAATCCTTAAGAGTCAGTGATTGGCTCATTATGTGTGTTTATTGCAGTATATGTGTAGCAACAGTTCTTCTAAAATGTTGTGATGTTATTTCCATCAAGAGGTGCATCAACTTTTGGTCAAGATCTTGTATTGAAAAGGTTGTCAACTTAAAAATTTGAGCTTAAGAATTTGTTCAGCTGATTTATCAATCTGGTTTCCGATCGCATCACAGCACAAAGGCAGCGCTCATAACGATAAACGATATTCGCTTAAATACTGATACCATAGATATGTATATGAAGGCTAGACGTGTCGTCAGCGCTGCTGGCCAATGGAGGTTGTCGTCTGCACCTGGCGGCCATCTTGTCACAGGCAGCTCGCTCACTCGTAACATTGTGGTAATGGTACATGTACTATTTAAATAACCATAACTGGCTCAATTTTCTAACGATTTTCAAACGGTTTGGTTCGTTATGAACGTCAGAGATGTAGTTATGACACTGCATACTTCTGAATAAAAAGTGTATAAATAAATAATCATCCCGATAATTATAGCCACATTAATAACGTTTGTAAGAAACCAAACCGTTTGTAAATCCGTCAAGAATTCAACGAGATAAGAGTATTTGTGTTCATGCTGATCACTCATCTTACATCAGCTTGTCTGTGACAAGATGGCCGTCGGTGATGACGATAGAAACTCCGCCGTAGCACATCTAGCCTTTATATACATATCTAAGACTGATACAGGCAAAGTATCCGTGTTGGTACTATTTGACCTCAGTGCTGCATTTGACATTGTCCATCACGACATGCTTCTTGACTGGCTGGAAAACTGGGTGGGCCTTTCTGGGATAGTCCTAAAATGGGTCAGGTCAGATGTATAAAGTACTAGAAACCTGGACTTGAGTAAAAGTACAAGTGCTCTATCAAAAAAGTGACTTGAGTAGAAGTTGAAGTGCTCTTTAAGCGCCACACTTAAGAAGTACTGAAGTATTCAATGTTTTTTTGTACTTAAGTATTGCAAGTAGTTTATTTTAAAATTCACTACTTAAGTACTAAAAGTACAAGTATTGTATCAAGTAATTATTAAAGAAAGCAGTCAAAAGTTTGAACTAGCAATCAAATAAGGCGCTTTGGCGGGATACAAATTTGCTTAGGCGGCCGCCAAAAAAAGTTGTCAATGTGTGTCCATCAATACCATTACCCTATAAAACTGGCGTGTGGTTGAAAGCCAACTTGCAACGAATGATTCATACAATTTTTATAATTGTAACTAGCAGAACATTAAAAAAAAATTATCGAAGTAAAAGTATTAAATTCACTGAAAATATCTACTGAAGTAAAAGTAGAAGTATGAGGGGAAAAAACAATACTCTAGTAGAGTACAGATACAGCATTTAATACTTAAGTACAGTACTTGAGTAGTTCTACTTCGTTACTATACATCTCTGCTTGGTAGGGAGAGGTTATTATGTGATTATAGGAGACCTTAGCGGACATCCATGACTTGCGGAGTCCCTCAAGGCTCAATTCCAAATCCAAAACGCTTTCCAAAACCAATTCCAGAACCAAATCGCTTACTGCAGCTATGCAGACGACACACAGCTCTACTTAACCCTATCGCTTAACAACTACAGCCCCATTGACTCCCTCTGCCAATGTATTGATGAAGTAAACTGTTTGACTGAAGAAAGTTGACGCATCCAACAAAGACAAAACTGAAGTAATTGCATTTGGAAACAAAGATGAAGTTCTCAAGGTGACTGGATACCTTTAGTCTAGGGGTCAAACAACTGAGAATCAAGTCAGTAATCTTGGTGTGTCTCTAGAGTCAGACCTTAGTTTCAGTAGTCATGTCAAAGCAATAACTAAATCAGCATACCATCATCTGAAAAATATTGCAAGAATTATATGCTTTGTTAAGCATTTGCTTTTTTGTGTGTGTTTTGGGCCGGGCAGTGTATAATATATTTTATAAACCTCAGAAATGCCTTTTAACTGCTGTATTTATAGTTCTATTTCATGCATGTAGTGTACTTCTGTTGGCATGCTGTTTGGAGAGTACGCTTATATTGATAGAAAGTTGTTTTTGGCCAGATCATTTAGTTGTTTTATGATTGGTTGTTAAATGTGCATTGGTGTCATCCTCACAGTTGTGTGGCTTCTTTTTTTTAGATGAGACACATGACATGTTTGTCTGAGCTTAACTTAATCAAAGCATGTGTTGTGGGTTTCACGATCTGAGAGGGAAGTCTTTGCGTGTCTAATGTGCCATTTATGCTGACTGAAGTTGTTCCTCTAAAAGCTGAATTTTGCAGTGTTGGGATAATATTATTGCTCATCAGCTGACTTTTTTTTTTCTGATGACATATCTTTTTCAGTGAAAAGCGCTGGAAGGACAACATTACATTCCATGACAACAACACTGTTTCGTATATGGAATATCGGCAGTATTTCTTTGAGGAGAGCATGTCCGTGGGAGATGAATCTGATGTGGTCACCATCCCTAACATGCTAGTGCTGGTGAGAATTTATGATTAAATATTCAGCCCACCATGTAGGGTTGGGAATCAAATCAATCGAATAGTTTACGAAGAATAGTTAGTTTACGAATAGGGGTGTAACAATATATCGTGCCACAATATATCGCAATACAAAAATACAACTATGTATCATGGATGGTTCCCCCAAAATAAAAATTACTGTGTGAGAAAAAAAAAAATCAGGTTTTCAGAGTTTACATTTAAACTACTATGTATAGCCTAATATTGGTTCTAATATATAATAATGCAATGTGGGAACATTTGTAGGTGCTGATAATGCCAAATGTCTTATGTTACCAGTAAAAAGTGGCTGACATTATTTTAAATATATTTAGTCTATGGAAGCGTGCAAGCATATTCATCTAAAATAAAAATTCTGAAGTATTTTCAGCTTCAGAATCACGAATATTGTTATTCTGGTGTCACCATTGTCCTTGGGTTACAAGGCACCAAGTCCAAGCCTATTCATTTAAACCCACAATGTAATATCAAAATTAACATTTTAATCAACAGTACATTTTTGGTTAACCTTATGTCTTGGAGTATGGCAATAATATCGTATCGTATCGTGACGAGAGTATCGTTACACCCCTATTTACGATGAATAGTTGGTTTACGACGGATAGTTGTAGTAATATATCTGCTGAATAGTTTTCGACCACATGTGCCAGATGAGGCCCGGATCTGGGCCGGATCTGTTGCTGTCCTTTGCCGCCTCATACTGGACAGAGCGATACTAAACGGAGTTCTCTTACACATCTTTTAGCACTTGAACAGGCAAATATACACGTCGAAATATCCTTATCAACTGTTTACGTTTGCTTTAGACATGAGCAACTAAGAAAACGCATGTGTAACATTATATTGGATATGTAATATTTTAATATTCCTTCTGCCATTTCTATAATAATGTTAATCCAACAACAAGACCGAAATGAACTCACTCAAGTGCAGTGTTCTCTTCCATTTGATTAGTTTCTGTACCTGAATACCTGAGAATTTTAAAATGCTTTTCAATCGTATATTTGTTCGGTTGTATTTTTGTTAGACATTTAATTTCGGAGTGTTTATTTGTCTTAAATGCTTGAAATTTGTAATAGTTAGGCTATCTTGTCGCACTTTCAGGGCGCATCGGTAATGATGGAGAATATGCCGTTTCCTATACGCATTTTGCTCAGCACCACGTTCAAGACCTTCAACGAGGGACCTTTCTTGACAAAACCAGTTGGAGAACTCATGTGGGGCTACGACAGCAAGTTGGTGGACTTCCTGAACAAATATCTTCCCGGCATGCTTCCATCCAGCGGCAAGTTTGGCTTATTTGCTGAGGTGAGGTTCCTGTGCATTCAGTTGTCCTGTTGCAGTGGCTGGTGTTTTTAGGGTCCGCTGATTTTCTTGCTTTGTTTTGCTTCCTATGTAGTTTAATAACTCCAACTCTGGACAGTTCACCGTGTTCACTGGCCAAGATGACATCCGGAAGGTTCATAAGGTGGACTCTTGGAATGGCATGAAAAGCGTAAGCCAAATGCTCTTTGGGACTTTTATAAAACATAGGACACTAGCTCTGTTCCAAATCTAGTGAGCTGCCTACGTAGATGACATACTCGGGTCTGAAACATACACAGTCCATGTGCATAAATGCACAAAGTTTTGAGCTTGATTCTACACGTTGCGTTCTTAAAATGTGTCGATGCAATTTTAGGGGTGCAGTTAAAATGGTAATATTGTGACATTACCATTTTAAAATAAGTTCAATCCCGATTTGGCTGATTTTAATATTCTTGCATAAACTGATCTTTTTTTTTTCTCCATCTTATTTTTATGTACCATCGTAAAAGTCTTAACTGCTTTTATCCAGCAAGGATGCGTTACATTGAAAGTGACCTTTCTTATCTCTTAAAATAAATTCTCTTACTGACACCAAACAATAAATAAGTGTTATACTACAAACATGGCTGATGTGACCGTCGTCAAGTAGAGTGTTTTAAATAAAGGGCTTTGAGTGATTTTGATAATCAGTGTCTTAACCAATCAATGTTATTCATATATTTCATCTTCAACTGCGTTGTGAACTTTTGAAGATACGATTGGTTACCGTTTAAATGCGTCCTTATGCAAACACTTGAGAAACATGGCTGACGGATGCTACATTTCTCTCCGATACGGTAGACGACTAAATTGAATGATCAAGATGATTGACGGGAGTGCCAGGATGTGTTCCGTTGAAGACGAAGTGGAATATCCCAAAGCTACACACTCAATGTACTTTCTTCATAAAAGGGCACATGCGTTTAGGGCGTAGTACAAGTATGCGAACTGGGACGCAACATAGGTTTTGGTGTTGCGTAAAGGAAGTGATGTGGTGCTGTGTGTTATTGGTGCAGGTGGATTACTGGAGGTCTGAGCAGTGTAACATGATCAATGGTACGGCGGGACAGATGTGGCCTCCGTTCATGAACACCGAGTCGACCCTGCCCTTCTACAGCCCTGACGCGTGCCGGTGAACAGCAGACTGTTACTCTGCCTTCATAAGATGATGTGCGTTTAGTGACTGGTTTCTAATGGCACGTTCTCCGATCTCAGGTCCATGGAGCTGGTGTACCAGAGGTCAGGTGTGTCGCGTGGGATTCCCGTGTACCGCTTCGTGGCGCCGAAGACTCTTTTTGCCAATGGTGCGGATTATCCTCCCAATGAGGGCTTCTGTCCGTGTCGTCAGTCCGGGCTCCTGAACGTCAGCACCTGTAGACACAGTGAGTCTCTGATCTTGACTCGCGTGTACTGTCAAACATGCTGGCGGATCAATGCCTTATCTGGAGGCTGTAAATATGTTGTTCATGCTGGGTTAAATCATAATGTGGCCTCTACCCATTTTCTTTGCCTTTTTACTAGGGCTGTGCAAAAATTAATTGCGATTAATTGCATCCAAAATAAAAGTCTGTGTTTACATAATATATTTGTGTGTGCTGTATATAATTATTTTGTATATATAAATACACACACATGCATGTATGTAGTGAAGAAAATGTGTTATTCATATATAAAATATTTATATTTATATAATATAGATTATGTATTTTTATAAATATACAGAATATAAGCGCAAATAATTCTTAAATATATACATGCATGCATAGGTATTTATATATACAAAATAATTATATACAGCACACACAAATATATTATGTAAACACAGACTTTTATTTTGGATGCGATTAATCGCAATTAATTTCTGCACAGCCCTACTTTTTACCCTTTTCTACCCTGTTTCTATCTTTTTTTGCCATTTGTTTTAATTTTACAACTTTTTTCCATTTGTCTTTCACTTTTCTTTTACCTCTTTTTTGTTTTACATTTTTTTTCTCGTCTTACCATCTTTCATTTCTTTCTCTTGTTTTTTGTATTCATTTTTTTTGGTTTAAATTCTTTCAATTATCTCTAATTCTTTACCTTCCCTTTTCATTTCTTATCCTTTTCTTAACTTTTTTTTTATTCCCTTCATTTTTTAATGCTTTTTCATTTTCTTAACCTTTTCTTTTATCCATCCTATTTATCTGCTCTATTTTCTTCTCGTCTCTTTTTGTCTCATCTTTTTTCCTTTCTTTTCTCCTTCTATTGATTTCTACTTTTTACCCCATCTATTTGTTTTTCCTGTTTCACCTTTTGTATTTTTTTTTCCCCTCCTATCTCAGATTCCCCTGTGTTCATTTCTCATCCGCACTTTTTTGAGGCTGATCCAGTCCTTTTGAAAACTGTCAACGGATTGAGCCCAAATGAAGATGAACATGGACTTTTTATCGATATCCACCCGGTAAGAAATCCCGGCACACAGAAACGCATAAACCAGAACACTCGCCCCGGTGAATGATACTCGAATGATACCCGAACGATACGATACTTGAAGATAACTTATTAATTTCAATACTTTTAAAGCAAGTTATGCCTCGTCTGTATGGATAGAAAATTGATATTACAAGACACAAATTCAGAGGCTTCTCAGGGGTTACTTAACTTCTATGACTGGTTTCAAAAATAATGATAGAAATAATGTCTCTTATGTATTAGGAAAATAAACATATAAATAACTAAAAGAAATACCTCCAAATGTAACAAAAATGGCTCTCACAAACTTACAAAATATATTGATATCTTTAGTTTTCTTCCTCTATCATGTTTTTCTTCATCCTCCTTGTTTGCCCATCTATATTTTGTAGAGCTGGTCTTTCCCAGCATTTTTTTTTTTGAAAACCAGGACATTTTCATCATTTTATAAAAACAGCCAGGATAGGACGTGAAAACAGGACTGTTGGTCACCCTAATGTAGCATTACTATTGGGAACTACTTAATATAATTCCTACTCTTTCTAGGAATACAATTTGAAATACTTGCAACATATAGTTATAAATCATTATACAATCTGTAAAATCACTTTCATAACAAATGATTCATCAGTTCGAGAAGGCAAACAAAATTAACAACCAGTGGAATGTTCCTCCCTTGTCAGGTGACTGAGCAAGTGTGAGTCTTTATCTCCCAAGGTTAATATGGGTTGTTGTTATGACTAAAAAAACTTAACATCTTTATCTCTGTAATTGGCCATAAATGTGGAATTGGTCCTTATGTCTTATCTAATATTGTTGCATAAATACCTGGTTTCTTTTGGGGTCAATACAGCCTATAACTGTGGCATAACCACTTTTCCAACCCATTTTTAAGAGTGTAGGTCAGGACTGAGGGGCCTCTCCAGTTTGTTAGGACACTGCTATGGAGTACCACAAAATACACATACATGTAAATATGCTTTGAGGTTCTCAGAACGATTAACTAGCCTACAGGATGTGCTCTGTTGAGAGAAAATCAAAACACTAAGCCAGAGATGATTGGTATTTAAAATGTATCGTCACATCTGTGTCCTCATGTCAAATTCTTAAGTTTAATCTACAAATCCAATCAGAGTAAAAAAAAGTCTATAGCTGTTCCTAATGAAATCGGTCAACAAAATTAATCTTTGGGTGCAGTTCAGATGTGACAAATGAATTTACACGGCAATTATAAATCAATGTATAGGTAAATTTGTGGATTTATTTTTTTTATGTAGAAATAATAAATGTTTAAAAAAAAGAAACAGCATAATTATTTTTAAAAATATCCTATTTTCTTGGACCGAGTGAAAACCGAATGTGCCGTGCCTGTTACTCAGTAACTTGTCAATTGAACTTTTATATAAAAACAATGTCAGATTTGCTATTGTGCAGATGTTCGGAAAAACGGCACTCTAGCTTGTGCTCTATCATATTCTCATGTTATAAAAATGGCTATTTTTATCGTTTTGATTGCACAAAGCTTTCAGTCGGAGGCTATTAGCCCGGTAATGGCCCTCGCTCGCATTGGCTTGACAGTGGAAACGCACATTTCTGACTGGTATATAACAGAACAACTCAAATAAACGTAAACGGGTAAAGGTGGGACTGTGGGTCGGGATCGTTTCTGGTTTGATAATGAGAGTACGTTGCTCATTACTGCCATTAAACCATTACAACATCTGATAAGCTAATTGGAAATTAGGGTTATCGTGACCTTTATGATGTTTGTATAGATCTCAGCAACTAAATGCCCCATAATAACCAAGATTAAGATTTTAAAGGTATAACATTTGTACATGCTCAATGACTGACTAAAGGTTTTCTGATTACATGCATCTTTTAGGTTCAAATATGATTGTTAAATCACTCTAGTGCTGTGGTTTATTGGGGGTTAAGTATAGCTGGAAATTTGTCATTTTGTGGGTCAATTTAGTTTTGCTGGATGTTGGATGTGAATCTCCTGATGTCTGTGGGCCTTTTGTAACAGGCAGTTTGATAAGACAAACTCTACTTTATGACTTCTGATTAGTTGGAGATACAGCCAAGGCTTTGTGCCGCTAAATTTAACAGAATTGCACAACCATGACACACTTCTTAACTGTCTGTTCATCCGGTTGCAAAACTCGATGGTTATCTCGTCGTTCTCCTTTCATCGGTTTAAGACCTTTTCCTGAAACTGCTCCTGGGTTGAATGTCTGGGACAAATTCACAGCATGATGTGCAATTTAGCTCCAGATCTATTGAATCCATTACTAAGCGTCACAAAACGGATCTTTGGTTTCAGTGTTTTCTGTTGGAGCAAATGCATGTCTGCTCAGAACTAGCCCGACATTGAATCTACACCCAACAAATGAAGCCTTTATGCTTTCCGTACAGTAGTTTAGTTCTGTTTAATTCGTTTTACTGTGTCCAAATCGATTCGGCAGGGTTATTTTTATTTATTTTTTTAAATGAAAGTAACATTCTGCTCAATTAATTTTTTTATAACCATATTACTCCATGCACAAGTAACACCGCAGGACATGCCTGAAGTACTACAAGAAGTATTTCTTGGCAACTACTATTTCCAGCTTCTATCCAAAATACATTCAAGGTATAAATTGTAGTATTGGTGTTCAAACCCGTGACTTTGGAGTTCTTGCAGGATTTGTACAAGGTGCTTAACCTGTTAACTGTCACCCCCCCTTTTTTGAATAGACATGAAAATGCACATTTCGAACTTAAATGGTTGTAATTCAAGAATGCTTTGGAATATAGACATATGATTGGTCTTGTTTTAAAGAAGACATTTGGCAGATTTTTGTAGAAGTGAAATAAATTAAGAAAGTGAAACAGAAAAAAAGTTATAGAGGTTTGAGTTTATGGAAATGTACAATGCAAAAATATTAATTATTCATATTTTACATAAAAAACCTGGGCTACTCTAAAACTGCAGAAAAATCAAAGCCAAAAATCTGAACAAGTTGTGTTTCAAATTTTAGGTTGATCTCAAAAAATGAGCTTTCAGTAAGATTTTGTTTGAGCGCAGTACCAAACTTTTTCACTAGGGCACAATCAGACTCCATTACTGCCCATATAAGGGCGCCTGCATTTCCATTCGTGTTTTGAGTGATATGAACCATTATTTTCACAATTTTCATACAATTTCTGAAGTAGAGATCCTATTCAGAAGTAGCATGGGAAGTTTGGCAGATTTTGATATGAATTGAACCTCTAAGAAACACATACAAAGAACACGCATGTAAGTCATAGCTAGCTGCCACATCACAAATGGTGAATTTATTATTTTTTTTCTTGATATTTCAAACTTTTCAGACCTTTTTTTCCCAAAATAATTGAATGGATTCTATCTTTTGAACTTTTGGCATGAAAACAAACTGAGGTATCTACCATTTTTTCATGATTTTTCATGTTTACTGCTATTTTAAAATAAAGGTCTGAACACGCCTTATAAGTACGAAAATATTATTGTTTTATATTTATAAATTATGGCTCCTCTGTAATATATTTTGAAAATCAGTCACCAAATATGGAAACTAGAGATTGTAAGCTTTCAAATGATATATAGTTTGTCAATATTATTTAAGGTATTTACTAAGATATTATTGTTTTAAAAATATAGTGGCAAACGTCCCACCTGTGGGACGGTGACAGTTAAAGAGCTTGAATTACTTGAATTTGAGTATTTAGGCTTTAAGTCCTGGAAAAACCCTTAAATTGTCTTTTTTTTTTTTAATTATTGATTGGACAATATATGAAATTACTGTTTAATTTTATTAATAAAACAAAAGTTTCTCGCATGAACGCTGCAGCCCATCTGAAACCGAGCCTTTGTGCATGGCTATGAGCATGATATTGTTCATATAAATAGGGCAATCATATTTTCATGGCAGAAGAAAAATTAGTTTGAGTGTGGAAAGCAATATCTTTGTCATAGGTTCCTTACAGTGGTTAAAGTTACCGCAGTAATTGCATGTGCATCACTTTATTTGTAACATTAGTTTATATTATTATCCATTTACCTTTTAGAATTTAAAATATAGCAAAGATATTGTTTGATAAGATCTCTGATAGATTTCTGAGAAACCCCCCAAATTAATTTTACCGTATCTGTACGAACCCTGTGCTTAGGGCCATGCAGTACTCTAAAGTGGAGGAAACCACTACATTTATTAATTTTTCATGGTGCAGAAAGTCATGTGCTTCCTTCTGAGGTTATAGAAGCTTGTTTGTAATTGAACCTTCTGATCTCACCATCGATCACAGTGACTTTCACTTCCGAAGATTATATCTTAGAACATAATAACTGCTTGTAAATGACATGGCTGTTGAGAAACCAATCAAATGAGCAGTTGTAATAGTCGATCTTCAGGTTGTTTTATGACTATCTGATAGCGTCTCAATGTATATGAAGTAGAACAGGCTAAAGATAAAGTACACGTTCAAAAGGCTTTTTTTCTTTCTGAAAAATAATACTTCTATTGAGCAAGGATGCATTAAACCGATCAAAAAGACAGTAAAGACGTTATAAAGTTACAAAAGGTTTCGGTTTTCAATTTCAAATGATATTCCTCAATCACTTTTTAAAGTTGATTAAGTTTAGTTTCCACAATATTAAGCAGAGCAACTGTTTTCAACACTGATATTAATAATCAGAAATGTTTCATGAGCATCAAATCATCATATTATAATGATTTCTGAAAATTCAGCTTTGATCACAGGAATAAATTGCGTTCTTAAATAGTCATTGTGAAATATTACTACAATTTAAAATAGTGGTTTTCTATTTGAACATCTGTTTTTACTATATTTTGATCAAATAAATGCAGCCATGGGGATTATATGAGACTACTTTCAAAACATTATTTTGACTTTCTTAGTTAAATAAAGGTTAAAAAAAAATTATACAAATTTTATAGAGCCCAAACCTTTAAGTAGACCAGGGAAAACATTGCTTTTATGATGATTTAATATTTAATCTTCATCCAGGTTTGAGTTTCAGGAATTTAAGGTTTATTTATGGATATTTTAGTTGATTTGTTCATCAGGAATGCATCTTCTGTACTTCACCTTGTTCTAAGTGGCATCAAATGTATACAAATTTTCTATATACAATGTTGGCTAAACTTCTACTTCAACTCATCATTCAAGTTTAAAAGCGGGCTGAAATTTCATCAATGAAATCCTGTTGCATGTTATGAAGAGATTCATTCAACGCTTTGTATTACAGGAGACCGGTGTGCCGATGAACGTTTCCATACGGCTGCAGCTCAATCTGCTCATAAAGAGTGTTTCGGGCATCTCGTAAGTACAGTAGGTCAACAGTCATGGCGCTCTGTGTCTGCTCTGAGGTGCAGATGTCGTGAAACCTGTTTGTTTTTGAAGGCTGCACTGTTCTGTACGGTCTCCCTTTGACTCTGTTCTGTGTGCTGTGGTTTGCTTCTTTCAGAGAAACAGGAAAGATAACGGAGGTGGTGATGCCCATGATCTGGTTTGAAGAGGTAAGAGCAAATTGCAAAGAAAACCAATGCACAAAAGAACTTCCAATGCCCTAAAATGTTTTGAAAGTCCCCACCAAGTGTTAATGTCTTAAACGTGCCAAAATAAAGGTGCCATTTTTAAAAGAATTGGTACTTTTAGTTTCATATCTCAAATTTGCTTGAATTTGTGGTTTGAAAAAACACTTAATTTTCAGTAATCAATTTGACTGCATTGAAGATATTGGATACCAACAAAACTTAAATGAACTCTAACAAAACTTTACTTGTGCTGGATAAGGACAATTGTTGTCTTTATAGGTAAATATTCTATTGCTTCATAACAAATGAACTTTTACACTGTTATTGTATACTGAATGACAACCCGGGTTGAGGAAAATTTCACACTTGTCATTTAAAAGCTCTGCTTTTTGTCAAGCAAGGTGACCAGGATTCTGTTTATCTGGGGTTTAGAATCATCCAGGGTTAACTCTTTAGTATTTTTATGGATTTACTAAACTTGGGGTGTCTTGCCTTAAGATATGTTAAAGTACCCTTGTAGTCGATCATTTTATCCCTAAAAACTCCTCTTTGATCACCAAAATAACATATTTCAAAGTTTGTTAAGTCTTCATGCCTTAAAATAGCTTGATAGTAACTCTACTACACCCGTGCCTCATTTAGTATGTGCGGTTCTATTAATATGCAAATGAGCCCCATTTAGTATGTGCAGTTCTATTAATATGCAAATTAGCCCCATCTTTACTCACACCAGCTCAGATTCCATAGACAATAAAAAAAGGGAGCCCGATTATTGCACTTCCTGCCTGATGTCAGCAACTGCGCAGGCTCAAACTGAGCGTGACGACAGTTGTAAGTCTCCTAGTAGCTGTACCAAGACAAATCTGAATCGCCTAATTCCTCAAAAACGTTGAAATATTTTGTCCCGTTGCTTTTTGTGGACTATCTATAGGCTTCTCCCTTGACTTTATGCCTCAATGTACCCCCGATTGCTTCATAGACCGTAAAAGATTTCCTGCAAGCTTCTCCTCCTGTCTATACGGTAATGTGTCTATTGTGCGACAGAAAGTTGCGTAGTTATAACGCAATCGTTAGCCTGTTTTTACAAAAACTGCTTCTCCGGGGCCATAACGTAAGGTACGAAGTAATGGAGCATTTTAAGAAATTTTAGAAATAGAATTTTAGAATCTTTAGAAATAAATAATGGACAAATTAAGTCTTTGAACGCCTTGGATGTAAAGTTATTCGCTGTCACTGTACGGCTCAAGGACGCTTGTAAAAAAGTACCGGGAAGCTTGTTGACGCTTTGGACGCTCTGGCGTTGCAGGGAGAATAGAAGTGTCGCAACATGAAATTTAATAAACAAAAAAAAAAACAAGCAATACATAAACTTTTTTTTTTTTGAAAGCATTTTTATAACCGTTTTGGTCGCATTTGGTCAGAAAAAAAAATAGTTAGCTATTATTATTATTATTATTATTATTTGCGGCGAAATCGGCGTCACCGTGAGCAAATTAATTGCATTCCCGCTTTAAAACGAGTGTTCGGTAATATTTCAAATAAAAGTTGCGCTCATGCGGTCCCTATAAGCAAACAACGTCATGTCATAAATGATACGAAACCAGTAGGAAACACAGCAACGGCGACGATTAGCTTCTCTTTCATTTTCTCGGAGCTAATGTTTTGGTTGGAACGAAAATTTACTGGCGTTTTGCCGCTTCTTGCCACTGAACCGCGTCACTTTTACCATAAAGTTGAGATTCTTTCAACTTTCTGATTGACGCTCAAAACGCCCAAAACGTGACGCCGATGGATTTGACGCTCCTTGCAGCTGAGAGAAGCCAGCTTCTATTGAAAATGAATGACTTACGGCCTCTTTGGAAGCTCAAGTCGGCGGCGGTGTGAACGTACAGTCAAAGTGACGCCAAAATGAATGGGAGTCAATGGGATGCCAACAGCAGGTGAAGTTCTGCTACAATGGCGGCTTCCGCGAGGCTTCAGCTTCCGGCTGATGAATTACTCCCTTGAGAGATTCACACGTTGACGTGATTGGTTACAAGGTAGTTTGCGCCAGCGATTTCAAACCGCATTTTTTTTTGTGTCTTTGGTTTATTGCAGTTTTAAAGAGAAAATACTCTGCAACATGAATTTGCACATGGTTTGTCCACAAGGGGACTTTTTATTTTTTTTATTTTTTTTCCTTTTTATGGTTAGAAATTCAAGTAGGTTGAAACTCCAATACTTGCATTTAAAAGTGTAATCCAGCATAGGCTAGACTTTGAATGATTCACTCGTTCTATCTTTCACGCCCCATGAAATGAAGACATTGTAAGCCTCATTCAAAGGAGCCTTCAAATTAGGACGGCCTTCATTGCACGTAACTCATTCGGCCTCTGAATTAGGACACAGCTTGCATTGTCTATGTGCTGATGTGTGACTTGAATTCAGTTGCAAAGGGCAAATGAATGAAGTGATTTGTCTTTCTCAGAGCGGATACATTGACGGTCCCGTTCTCAACACGTTCCGCACTAATCTGGTGGTGTTGCCCATGGTCATGGAGTACATGCAGTACATCTTCATCGGTCTCGGACTCGCAACCATTCTGGGAGTCGTGATTTTATACATTGTGACAAGTGAAAAGGTATGTCGCCAACTGCACTTTCTATGCATGATTTTAATGCACTTTTACTAATATTAATGTGATTTCAACGGGTGTATGTTTGTGTGAGATTTGGAGAGGAAGTGGGTTTACATGATGTTGAGCGAATGTGGTTTGGCGTTTAAGTGTGTCTGAGCTCTGAGGAGGAAGTTTAGCGTAAGAACCCGAAAGCACTTTAACGTTCCTCATCACCCCACTTTAACACGCTGCATGGGCTTAGATGGTTTAAAGTGCAACACTTGCATGGTTTGTTTTACAGAAAGCCAGGAAAAAGACCGCAGTTTCTCCCACACAAATGGTCAGCACTAATTTCTAAATGCATATTCAAAAACAAAACGATTACAATGAAAATAACAATCAAATGTCGTTGTTCCAAATTTGAAACCATTGTTTACAATCTCATTTAAAATGAGCAAAGGCTGATCAACTTTAAATGTAATGTTGCTGATTTGAAAAAAGGAAAAGCCACAGTGAGATGATCCCGGCAGATGTGAATTTTATTGTAAAGACATTTGTAAATCACATGCTTAGAAACTTGATTTTCACATTGCACGATCGTGTTCATCTTGCATGCTCCCGTCCCAATCACTGACACACTTGCATGCGTTGCCGTGCACGAGCACTACGGGCCGTTCAAATTCCCTTCAGTTTGTCCGCTGTGATCAACACTGTCACTGTGTCCAATAATCAACCTGAAGATCACTGGCTCCCAATCAGTGTCTCTGCCCACCTGATGTTCAATGAGGTCTGGTTATTCTTTTAGGAAAGCGTAAAAGATACAAAACACGACCCGACCAATGAGGCGCAGGCTGAAAAATTAAACGTGAATGACACAGGTGGGTTTTTGGCTCAGAAATGCCTCTTCTCAATGTCTTCTTCTGCAGGTGGGATGTTTTTGAGGTCACATGAGCACACTGAAGTGAACGCTTCTCCTTTCACTCACATGCACCTTTTACAGTCACCATTTCATCTGCTTCACCCATCAGTCCATCATAACTCAACAGAATTTTGCAAGCAATGTTCCCTCTAATTTGTTTTGTTTGCTGAGCAAAACCCTGAAAAGTGAAGTTAAAATTTTTCAATCGCCCCCTGGTGGTTGGCTGAAGAATCCGTCATAATCCCCTTGGTTGGTGTTTTCTGTAGCAGTGCACTTCCCCAGCTTCACCTGTGTAGGTCTGCTATATGGTTAATTCATGTATGCTATGCTGTGAGCAAGACACACTGCTGCTGTACAGTAGTTTTGCGTCTGTATTGTCAGTAGCAAGTCCTATATTTGCAATAACAGCAGCAGCGTAGCATACCTATTCCGCCATGACCAAACACATCAACATGATCATATCCATTACAACACTTTGAGTTTTCGTGTCCGAAATCCTATTTACACTTTAAACTTGGGGGGAAAAATACACTAGAGGGAACAGTGTTTGTGACAAACTGAGTGTTTTCTGATATGTCTGCATGGAGGATTTTGCCAGTTCCTTTTTATTTTTTACACGCATACTTTATATAAAACCAAAAGTGGCTCCAGATGTTAAACAGGTGGTAAAGTCTTTGCCAGTTCCTGAATGTTTAGCCTTTTTTTATTAACTTTACTGTCCACATTTTATTCTTTATTGTATATTGTTTGTTCTTTTTCTGCAAATCTGAAAAAAAAAATGTATTGAATATTTTTCTTGAGTAATGTTTAACAAAAAAGGATGTAACTTAAAGGAGTAGTTCACTTTTAGAAAAGCTTTTGCTGATCATTTACTCACCCCCATGTCATCCAAGATGTCCATGTCTTGCTTTCTTCAGTCGAAAAGAAATTAAGGTTTTTGATGAAAACATTCCAGGATTTTTCTCCATATAATGGACTTCAATGGGAACCAAATGGTTCAAGGTCCAAATGAGAGTTTCAGTGCAGCTTTAAACGACACCAGACGATGAATAAGGGAAACAATCACTCATTTAAAAAAAAAAAGTTTTAAGTTTTATAAGCTCAAATAGTCGCCTTGCTCTGTTCTGTGATGCGCATTCGTGACTCTCCTGTTTGAACTCGTTCGTCAAAATGAACAAATCTTTTTCTGAGTCAATTCATTCATATCGTTCGTTGAATGAACCAAAAGACTCGATAAACAAGTTCGAACAGGAGAGTCACGAACGTGCATCACAGAACAGAGCAAGGCGACTATTTGAGCTTCTAAAACTTAAACTTTTTTTTTTTTTTAAATGAGTGATCGTTTCGCTTTGATAAGACCCTTATTCATTGTCTGGAATCGTTTAAAGCCCTTTGAACAGTTTGCAGTTTGAAATGAATCTGTCTTTTGGACCTTGAACTGTTTGGTTCCCATTGAAGTGCATTAAATGGAGAAAATATTCCAGGATTTTTCATCAAAAACCTTAATTTCTTTTCGACTGAAAGAAAAGAAAGAAAGACATGGACATCTTGGATGACATGGGGTGTGTAAATTATAAGCAAAAGTTTTTTTTTGTTTGTTTTTTTTAAATGAACTACTCCTTTAAGTTTTTCAATCTTCTTAAGCAGTGGAAACTTTAATTTTGGTGAGGAATTTGTTTTTGATAACGATTTTTTTCCCCCCTTCGCCGCCAGATAAAAAGTAAGCTGTGTGCCCAGCCCTGCACAGATGTGGATCCATCCAGCTCAGCCAGTGAAAAGACCCCATTACTACAGGCCTCAACCAGCTAGAGCCACTCTGCACACTGCAGATCACTCTGTATAAACTCTCAATCCCACAATCCACTGGGCAATAAATAACTTTTTTTATTAAGCGTTGTAGTTGAATGAACTGAATTAAGAACAAACCATCCAGAACAGGATTATGAACTCTTGAGTGGCTTGTGTTTTGCACAGCAGTTGGGTTTAAAGTTCTCTGTGGGGTCAATACTATATCTTCTCATTTTTTGGGTGAAAAGGTGACACTGGTACACTTTCAAATTAAATTGACAATTTACTACTAGACGATGCGTTTTCAAATGGTGCATTTTTATAGCTTTAAAAAAATTGTTAAACACTCCAAACCTTATCTCCTCAGAGGGAAAAATGTATTTATAGACGTTTAACCTTTATCCTGTAAATAAGTAAGGGATGTGAACACTGGATATCATTTCCGTGCCATTGAGTGAAATGTCCTCTGAAAACAAAAAAATGCTGAGCTAACATGTTTCTCATTATGCTGAATACACATGTTGCTTTTGTTCTGTCTGTAGAGCCACTTGTATTTAATGGATGTAAAAAAGTCGTTGTTTGTATTCTCTTGATTGTTCGGTATAAAATTAAATGGTATTGTTTTATGAGCCATTCAATAATGACTTTGAGTTCACTTTAATTCTTGGTATTTTTGGTTGATTCGCAGACAAATGTTGTATGACAACTTTTAAAGACGCTTATAAATCTGGCTACAAACAGCACATGGTCATGAGTCCATCCATGATTTTATTTGGCCTACTCCTTAAATACTGTTAAGGTTTATCAAAAGCTGTGTAGATGAGAAGTAAATATTGTCTTTTGTCTGTTAAATAAAAACCTGCCTGTCTTATAGCTCACTCCAAAATCAATATGGAAGTACATTGTAGAACTAACCTGTAGAATCAATTTGTTTTGCTGAAGACAAAAGACAGACAGGCCTCATAGACTTCCTTTGTATTTTTTTTCTCCAAGTGGAAGTCAATGGTGTCCATCTTCAAAATATCTTTTTATGTTCAGCAGAAGAAAGAAATTCATTCAGGTTTGCAACAATTTGAGGGTGAGTAAATAACAGTTTTATTTTTTTCGGCGGTGAACGATTTGTTACTTTCAAGGATGAAACTAGGCTTTCAATCATCCTGCCCAGGCCACTAATACTGTGTCAGGTTCTTTGTTCAATTTAATTCAGACCAAAAGTAGCACTACAAATTGAATTGGATGTCTAGATTGTACTTTAAAATAACTGTTATTAGTTAGTTATTAGCATCACAGTAACGAGAATGAGTCTTTATTTTTTCCGCCATTTTTAAAATAGCAGTTCTTTTAATCACCGCAAGATGGCAAGAGCGAGCAACAGTACAGCAGGCGAGTTTGTACTGAATTAAGTCATTTTTTGGTCTTGTATCGTCGTTAGTCATTAATGTTGTTGAACCTTTTTTAATCAAAGAGTTTTTATTTATGTATTGATATATATAGATGATTGTGTATGAGAGCTGGGCCTGTTGAAGAAATACACAAATCTTGGAAAACGTGTCCCTGTTGTGTTGACTGAAACGAAGAGTTCCTGACGTGAGTATAAACTAATTTTACACAATGATATCCATAAACTTAAAATGTTATTATGATTCTTTGTCTATGGCTCCAGAGAACGCAATGACATACTTTGTAATTTCAGAATTTACCTTAGATTTTCCCTTCAAAATCTTCAACATGTTTGTTTTCTAACATCTCAGCCAAATGTTATTAAAAAAATAATCCAAAGCTGATTCCATTAAATTATTAAGATCATATATCAAGATTTTTATATAAAACGTGTTTATAGGCTATACAATCAATCTTCTATAACGTTACCTTCTCCCCTCTGGTTGACACTTCATACTTTTTTAGTAAGTAAAATGTATTTTTGCTTTGTAATCTTAAATTATTTTTATAAAGTAAATGTTTCAATAGTCTGATATACTCTTATTACGATCTCACTCATTTACATTACTTGCTAACAGAATTTCATCTTACTTTTTGACTTATAAATACATCTGCACAGAGGATGGGCCTCTGAATTATTATTATTATTATTTATTTATTTTTTTCTCCATATTCTAGTAAACCATACTATATGGGCCTCAAAAGTCTAATATGTCATATATCATACAAACATAAAATATGCTAATTTATTATGGCAAAAAAAGCTTTTAGATTTTGTCTAAAGGTTTCAAAAACGAAACACGAAATTATTCTGGTCATCATTTCATATGTCAGGCTTTACAAGATTAAAGCTCTATGAAATCAGAATTGGATTTGTGTGTGGTTAGTCCGTATTCAAGATATCTAATTAAAATTTTAAATCTATTTATTTGGTGTGTCCATTTTTCTGTATATTACAATGCTTTCTACAGTGCGATTGTCCCTCCCCATAATTCCACCTGCCATCTAGTAATAACAAGTAGCAAATTGAAGCTTTATTCTTATAGCACAACACAAACAGAAATTTATTATTTTCATGGATTACTTTTAAAGCTAGCTGAAATTAGGTTTAGAATAATTAATTTCCCATAAGATTAGCAAGTGTCAGTGCTTTGGTGTATGTGAAGGTCCTTGGGGTTTCCCAGATCCCAAACGTGAGGGTTACCACTTTATCATTGCAGGTCACCAGAACTTCAACATTTGAAATGAAATGCAGTGTAGTGAGAGAAAAGGCGCTTCGGCTGTCTGTTTGACGGCTGTTCAATCGATGAAGTTGGCAATCTTGTAAATGTGACCTTTTCCAACAGAGCTGCCGCATTTCAATCTCATGTCCTGAGGGAATGCGTCTCTCGGTGTTTCTTCGACCCCCGCTGCTGATTACGGTAACCTATGGTGTCATGGCCACAAAGCTGTCTTTCATGTGAAATATAGAGCGTTATACGGACACTGCAATGAATCATATCTCAAATATTCGATTAAACAAACGCCAGCTCTCAATTGCAGTGGTCTGCCACTTTGTATGTGGTGTAAAGATTTCTAGGATTTAACCTCAGTAGTTTTGGTTTGATGAAGCAATTAAAGGGATAGTTCACTTTGAAATTAATTTTTGGTATGTTTTGGCTTACCTCAAGGGCATCCAAGATGTAGGTGTCTTTGTTTCCGTTGTAGTTTAAATTTTGATATTTTTAGGTCAAACCGTTCTTGTCTATCAGTCATATAATGGAGGTCTATGGTCACCACCTCAAAGAGCATGCACAGAGAAGTCCAAATTAAACATGATTTAATGACTCGTAAATGTAAGTACACATTGATGGCCTAAGACAGGAAACGAGCGGTTTGTATGAGAAAACGAACAGTATTTATATAGTTTTTTTTACCTCTTGTAACCACAGCCACGTCCAAGTGATCTGAGGGCGCGGGCGCTTCGATCTGTGCAAGCGTCGGAAGTGATCTCACACGCGGTTGCGAAAGATTCAATGTTGTCTGCGATTCCCTGTTTATCTAAATATGTTTAGATCTTCACAGTGAAAGGTAACGATTCCGAAATCTCTGTGTAAACAATGAGTGACGTACACGAGCGAGAGATCACTTCCGGCACTTGCGCAGACCGAAGCGCCCGTGCCCTCAGATCACTTGGAGGTAAAAACAATGGCTCGTTTGGCTCCTAGGCCATCAATGTGTACGTACATTTACGAGTCATTAAATCATGTTTAATTTGGACTTCTCTGTGCATGCTCTTTGAGGTGGTGACCATAGACCTCCATTATATGACTGAAAGACAAGAACGGTTTGACCTAAAAATATCAAAATTGAAACTACTGTGGAAACAAAGACACCTTCATCTTGGATGCCCTTGAGGTAAGCTAAAACATACCAAAAATTAATTTCAAAGTGAACTATCCCTTTAAGAAACGGGCAGAACAACACTGTACCAGATTTGGCGACCAAGTGCTTCAAGAGCTGAATGCAAAGAGAAAACATGCTTCAAATATGTAATGAGCTCTGTTGGGTTCTGGCCAGTTCAAAGATTGTTCTATTTGTGGACGCCAGTTGTTTGTGTCCATCAAACGTAATGGAAAGTAAAAGGGATAGTTCACCAAAAAAATGTTAATTCTGTCATCATTTACTCACCCTTAAGTTGTTCCAAATCTTTATGAGTTTATTTGTTCTGCTGAACGCAAAGATATTTATTTCCACACTATGGAATTTAACGGTGCCCCACAAGATATATTTCAAAATATTATTTGTGTTCAGCACAACAAAGAAATTTATTTGGAACAGGTTTTTGTGTGAACTATCCCTTTGTAATTAATTCAGTACCTGTTGGTTTGTCTTTGTTTCATTTGTTTTCCATGCCTCTTCTCCTGGATTCGACATAGTGAGCCGTTTACCTGAGCGATTTGGTGTTTGTATTGTGTTGCTCTGTTGTGTCTGATGAAGATCCTTTTGCTCGTGTTTACCTCCCCGCTGGAGTGAGTGGGTTTGACATCCAAAGGGAGGGTTCAGGTCATCCCTTCAAGGAACATCAAACCGAGATGAAATTGTGGCTGCCCTTCCAGCATCTTTGATGTCTGGAACCCGGGCATGACCAAAGTCTGCTGTGAAATTATAGAGCGGAGTAGACTCAGAATATTAATGCTCATGCAAGAACAGGATGATGGGTGAAGTTTATTAAAACATGTTCAGGTCACATTCCATCTCATATGGAAAAAATTATGAATTTTGATCACTCAAAAGTTATGCAATAAGTAAGATTAAAAAAAAAACGCTTATCAAGTAAGGATGCATTGAATTGATCAAATGTGACTATAAAAACATATATAATGTTACTTAAGATTATATTTTAAAAAATGCTGTTTTTTAAACTTTGAATTAATCAAAAAATCCTGTTTTTTGACTGACTGATTTTGTATTTTGGTTTTGGTTTCATTTTGTTGTTTTTTTTGTGATGCCACACTCCATTACATTCATGAAGCATATATAATCTTGCGGCAAAATCTTTGTTTGCACTTAAAGGGATAGTTCACTTTGAAATTAATTTTTTTGATATGTTTTAGCTTACCTCAAGGGCATCCAAGATGTAGGTGTCTTTGTTTCCGCAGTATTTTTAATTTTGATATTTTTAGGTCAAACCGTTCTTGTCTATCAAGCATTATAATGGAGGTCTATGGTCACCACCTCAAAGAGCATGCACAGAGAAGTCCAAATTGAACATGATTTAATGACTCGTAAATGTAAGTACACATTGATGGCTTAAGACACAAAACGAGCGGTTTGTGTGAGAAAACGAACAGTATTTATATCGTTTTTACCTCTTGTAACCAACAACAACCAACCTCTTGGTTATAAGAGGTACAAACAATATAAATACTGTTCGTTTTCACACACAAACAGCTTGTAGTGGACTAACCTCCAGTGTTGAGTAGTGTAACTCGACCAAGCATGGTGACACGTACAAACGTTGCGCTTTTTTAAGCGTTTAAATTGGATAAATATATTGTATAGCGGAATACCACAGCAAGTACATGAGAGCACTTCAACTCGGCGCATTTGCTGTGGTTTTTCGCCATACATTATAGTTATAAATTTTACACGCTTAGAAAAGCGCAATGTTTTATTTTGTGTCACCATTCTTGGCCGAGTTACACTACTCTTGTAA